CATTTCTAGTTTTTTTGACATGTTTTGTCCTCCTAATTGTATAGATATTTCTAAAAGTGGCTCAGCAGTGCCATTTAGAAGCTTCCTGAATACCTTGAGATATAATTTATCAAATCCAAGAATTTGAACTCCTTCTGCTTAACTGGACGATTTCTGACAAATTCTTTACTCGTTAGAGAATTCAAGTCTAATTTACTTATACTTATTTCATCCATTTTTTTTGTTCAGAACAGATCTCATCCTTTTTCATATAATGTATGAAGAAGCAAGATAAAAATCGAGTTTCTCATTCCCTCTGTCTCATTTCTACTTTGTGCTCAAATTCTTGTTCATTTCTGACTGTGGCCTTCTCTTCATCTTTCTTGTTCTAAAGTCTCTAAAATGAGAGAATGACTCTTGACCACAGTCAAACTTATTTCTCATTTACTTAGCTCTATTAAAAATATTTAATGAGCAACTGCTACATACTTAGCCATGCTCTAGGACTATACAAACAATTTATGATATTTTGGTTCTTTTAAGGGAGAAAGGCAAGATTACTACACAAAGTAATAGTGGATTATCATTAACAGAAAATATTTGTCACTTCTGATACAGCTCACAACTTTTGTTAAAATTTTTTTAAGTTGTTAATTTTTTTTTTAAAATTTCTTTGTAAGCATGATTAGACTGAACTTGGGTGAAATACTCAGAAGTTCTGAAAGCACTTTTTCTTCACTGTAGTTTATTTTTCTAAGGTGTAGTGGTGAATAACATTCTCAGAACTGGCCATACCACAAGGCTAGGCCATATTTGTATTAGCTCCAAGTGTTCTGCAAAGTCAGTCATAGCATGTTCTTCCAGCCACTGGTGGCAGGTGAGATATGCTTTTATTGAGTTATGCTAGCTTCCCCTAGTGTTTCTTTTTAAGGAAACAAGACCCATTTATTCAAATGCATGCGATTCATCTGTCCCTCTGGTTAGTGTTTCCTTTGTTTTGGTTTGATTAAATACCAAGTGGTACTTGCCTCTTGAAATCTACTAAATAAATTCTGACTTTAAACTTCTTTCACGAAATCTTAGAGCTTAAAAAGCTATATATTTAAAAATATGAACCTGCATTTGCTTTCTCTATAAAAATAAAATCAATCTTGATTGAACCCAACTATATTTCAGAAATTGATTTTCCATGTTAATATAATTACAGCTGCAATTTTACAAAAATACTTTTATCTACCTCTGAGAATTTCTGTATTACATTGTCAAATTCTTTCCTACCATAGAACCAGTCTGTGCAGTTGATGCGAAAATATCTTTAGGCACGTTTGTTTTTATTACATGATTCTGCCTCCTACTTAACTTCCTCTTTATCTCTTGCCATTAGTTTTTCCATATTCCCATCTGTCCCCACCCAATTTTGGAGCAATAAAGTAATGAACACAGAAAGGAAGGTGCTGCTATATTAGAGTTTTCAAGTTAGTGATCACTTCTGTTACTTTTTATCTCAAAGTCTTTAATTGAATCAAAGTCTACCAATATCTAAAGTATTACTGATCCTGTAACATAGAATATTGGCATAGTACCTTAAAGAAAGCCATTTATTATATGTTTCCCAGGGAAAGGGACAGTCTTTATATCTCTTACTCAGAGCAGAGGAGTGAAGGTTGAAGGGGAGGGTGGTATTTTGAACCATTGAAATATAAAATAATTGTAGGGATCGATGTGGTAGAACAGAATTAACATCTCTGGACTGGAAGAGCTTTGTTAAGAAGCAGCAACTCAATTGGCAGTCAGTGAGAGCATCTCTTACACATTTAAATAAGTAAAAATAATGCATCATATATTAGATTGAATAATTAACTATATGGTTGTCTGTATAGTGACAGAGTCAAATAAGCTTTAGGGTGTCCAACCTTTTGGCATCTCTGGGCCACACGGGAAGAAGAGTTGTTTTGGGCCACACATTTAAATATACAAACACTAACAAAAACAGAAAAAATCTCGTAATGTTTTAAGTTAACTTAAAATTTAGCGTTGGGACACATTCACAGCCATCCTGGGTCACATGCAGTCAAGTGGGTTGGACACCCCTGCTGGGTGCGAGGCGGGAAGAGCTCAAGCCTTGATAAAAGATTACCAGGCTCTGTCACCAGTGTTGTGAACTGAAACAAATCACTTTATTTCATTTTGTATCAGTGACCCTGTCTGTAAGATGAGGATGATAACAACATACGTATCTTTGCCAAAAACACACACATACACTCACACACTTGCACTCACATTGCACTGAGAATACTCGTATGGTTCCTGACACATACGCATAAAAAAAGCCCTCAATAAATGTTGTGTTTTCTTTTTGTTTTAGGCTTTCTTATACTATCTTAAGAGTGTTAGAGTATTGCAAGATTAATGCTGCTAAATTAGAAATTTATTAAAGCAAGTATCTGTATTAAAACAGTAATTCTAGCTTGTTTTGAAAGAGTTCATTAGGTTAATTATTTTAGTATTTTTCCAAAGTTGATATTCATTTCATTATATGTATTCTATGTCTTCATTATCCTATCCTTATCAAGCTTTCAAAAAATTTCACTTTTACCTATTCTCATTCTTTGTGGTATTTCTAGTCTTAATTTTTTTCTTATGTAAATCTGATAGAAACTTTCTCCTCTATTTAAATTACATTTGGTCTTCTGACATTTTTCTTTGTTTAAAAGCAAGTATAATTTCTTTATCAGTGTACTTCACATGACTTAAAATTTCTTCTTCTGAGGTGTTTTTAAAAAATGTTACTTAATATATAGTCCCCCACTTTTTAAAAACTTATTTTACTTTGTGAATAACCCAAAAGTACATTTAAATTTAAAAAATTGCATTTTAGCTCTGGCTGGTATGGCTCAGTGGCTTGAACGTTGGCCTGTGAACCAAAGGGTCACCGGTTCGATTCCCAGTCAGGGCGCGTGCCTGGAGTGCAGGCCGGGTTCCCAGAAGGGGGCACACGAGAGGCAACCACACATTGATGTTTCTCTCTCTTTCTCCCTCCCTCTCTCTCTCTCTCCCTCTCTCTCTCTCTAAAAAGAAATAAAATCTTTTTAAAAAATCCCATTTTAAAAATTAAAATGTGTAGTTGGACTCTGAAGAATTCTCTCTATATGATAGAAATAACATTTAAAGTATTATAGGTATCAAATAAAGTTTAATTGACACTGTTGTCACTTGAAATTTGGATTTTTCTTCAGCGCTTTCAGAAAAGAATCTTAAAATATGTGTAAGACTTGATACCTTACATACTTTTATTTATAAACTAAATCTTAATAATAATGCTTTCTTTGCATGTCTTCAAAATCAGACAGCAACCATTTATCAAAAATCAAAGAACACTAAAAGATGAAGACTACCTAATGTTCATTCTCAGTTTGAATTTAAACTCTGCTTTGTTGACCTAGCCATTCCACTGCTGGCATTACACCCTAAGAGCCCTAAAACACCAATCCAAAAGAACCTATGCACCCCAATGTTCATAGCAGCACAATTTACAATAGACAAGTGCTAGAAACAACCTAAATGCCCATCAGTAAATGAGTGGATCAAAAAACTATAGTACATTTACACAATGGACTACTACACAGCAGAAAGAAAGAAGGAGCTCCTACTTTTTTGCAACAGCATGGATGGAACCGGAGAGCATTATGCTAAGTGAAATGAGTCAGGTGGTGATGGACAAATACCAGATGATCTCACCTTTAACTGGAACATAATCAACAAAAGAAAAAAGAAACAAAGCATAACCAGAGACATTGAAATTAAGGAATCTAACAATAGAGGGGAGTGGGAAGGGGACAGTGGGGAGAAGGGTTTTCAGGAACTACTATAAAGGACACATGGACAAAACAAAGGGGGAGGGTGGAAGCAAGGGAGGGAGGTGGGTTTGGCTGGGGTTGGGGGGCAATGGTAGGGGGGGAATGCAGATAATTGTAATTGAACAACAAAAAAGTAATTAAAAAAATAAAATAAAATTCCCATTGAGGATTTTAAAAATCCAATAATCATAAGAAATATCTTTGGGAAGCATTTGTGAGGGCCACCTTATATAAATAAATGCATTTCAACTTTAAAAGAAACACAAAACTCTGCTTTGGCCCTTGGCCCAGCTCAGTTGGTTACTGTCTTCCCAATATGCCAAGGTTGTGGGTTTGATCCCAGGTCAGGGCACGTACAAAAATCAGCCAATGAATGCATAGATAAGTGGACAGAGAAAGAGAAATCAATGATTCTCTTTCTCTCTCTCTCAATCTCTCGCTTACCCTATCCCTATAAAATCAATAAGTAAATTTTAAAAATCTCTACTACTATTAAAGGATAATTAGAACTACCAATTTTCTGTGACAGTGTGATTCACAGTCCAATTTATGTGAAAAAGTTTAGGAGATTTAAAAAATAGTTTAAGATATGTAATCATAAAATCATACAGTCCTTCAAGGCCCAGTTTAAGAACTGACTCCTCTGAATATATTATTTTGCTATTTTTCAAAAATTGGAAGGGGGTAGCATAAGGATTCTGGGTTTCCCAAAATAATTTTTATTATTTTTGAGTAGTAATCTATACAATGATTGTGTCTGTTCTTTATTTTTATTATGCTTAATCATTTATTTTAATAAAGTATGAACAGTATCATCTAGAGTTTGAGCCTAGTCTAGAAAGTCATTAGGACATTCTGTTGTGGAGGAAATATAGCGTTTTTTATTGTCATTTGGCCTATTTAGATTTTTCATGGTTTAGTTATAAAAATGAGTTTCCATGACTTGTTATAGGAATAGAGGCCAAGATTTATTATAATGCATGAAAATATTTACTTAAAAACCCCAAAACTATATATTACCTCTCATTGAATTATTAAATTTTGTTTCAGTGAATCAAACCTTCAAGTCATATCGTTTAAAACCTTACAAAAAAAGAAATCAAGGAGAAAATCACAGTCTAGAGCAAAACAATATGTATTATTACTTTACTGTTTTCTTTTTAGGCTCATGAGAGGCTAGAAGATTCAAAACTGGAAGCTGTTAGTGACAATAACTTGGAATTAGTCAATGAGATTCTTGAAGATATCACTCCTCTAGTCAATGTGGATGAAAACGTGGCAGAACTGGTTGGTATACTCAAAGAGCCTCACTTCCAGGTAAACTTGGCCTCTCTCTCTTCTCCCCAAGTCCACTGTGTTCCCAAATATTCTCCTTTAGTAGTTAAGTTCCAGTTTAAGATGAGGCTTTTAAATATTATTTAGGGCCATATTTTGTAATGTGTAAATTCCAACATAGGTATTTTAATACTCTGATGTTCTGAGGATACATAAACAGACATATGTAACTAATAGACATTACATAAATGTATGATGTCTGTCACAGAAATACATCAGAGTAGATTTTTCTTTGTGTAATTAAAAAAAATGATTCACCATCAGACCACTTGCTGGAGACATTTTTCTCTGTGATACTGCATTTTTCTTTCTCACTACCACTGTTGTCCAGACCTCCTTGTGGCCAGTCATACACATTTTCAGTACTGCTTCTAAGACTCGGGTGCATTTGATGACCTTGGAACAACAGAGAGCTGTGTAAGGATAGAAACTTACATAATGTACTTTTAGTAGGTACAAAGAATCAGTGCAACTTAAGCATTGGTCTATCTCAATGAAGAGTTAATCATTTTAACAAAGAAGAACCAGTTCCAGAAGAGAAAAGTGGGTGAGGGAGGTTTCTTATATACCTGTAGTGAAGACAGTGTAGTATTGGGTCAGCATTAGAAAAATAGATTAGTCAATGAGAATAGCAACCCCAGAAATATGGCAACCTGCTTTATGACAGAGATAGTACATTTTAGTGGAGGAAAAAGCACACTATTCAATAAATGCTGATGGGATAGAGAAATAAAGTGTCACCTGCTTTCCACTGCAAATCTTAAGAAGCAACACCCCCTTGCTTTTTATCAAAGACTTCCTATGACTCTCAATGTTAGTATGAAATTTGAAGATTTATAGTGAAATGGTTTCCTACATAAATCAGTATATGAAGTACAAAAAAAATGGACACACATCAGAGACACCCTTTGTGCAGGGGCCATTTGTTTGAAGCCTTTTAAGACACACTAAGTTGTTCAGACTTTATCCTGAGGACAATGGGAAAACTTGGGCAGGGATGAGAGGAGGTATTAAACAGCGAGAGGTCAGATTATGGAGCTAGATTAAGTACTAAGGCAAGAAATTGTGATGGCAGTGTAAAAATGAGGATTTCAAGATTTAACAAGTAAAATTAACAGGACTTGGTCACTGATTACATGTGGCAGTTGCAGAAGAGAGAAACTCTTCTATTATTCACTGTATATCCACACAGTGATAATTCTCCTAGAGTAAATAATACCTGATTGGCCTACCACTACTGATGCTGAGATCGATCCCTTGATTAAGGGCAATGACAGTCTAACCCTTCCTTTGAAAGCTTTTCCACTAGCAGTAATCTAGTGTGTTATTCTAGCAAATGCTGCTTCCTTTCATCCGTTGGCCTACTGGTGAACACGTTAATAATCCAAAATGACATTTTTTAAAATTCTGTCATTCCACATTTATTTGCTGGTGTTCTTATGTGACGTAGAGCTTTTCCTCATCAAATGGGCTGTTCAGTTTGCTATATAATGCATTTCCCACTGAAAAGTCAAAGAAATGTTTGCTCTTTACCAATTTTTAAAATAAAGAATTGTTTGAAGTAGCAATCTTAAATAGTAACAAATGTCTTTTTTTCAATCCTTTGGTTTGGATTTTTCATTAGTTCATTATGTTTTAAAGTTCTACAATCCTTAACACTTTGATTTTCAAATTATCATATTTTTTCAGTTTTAGGCAGATTTTTAATGTATGAATCTGAAGCTCATGAAAGGTCTGAACCAAAGGTATAAAATTGGGAATTATCAATGTATATGTAGTGGTACAAGTCCTAGGAGTGAATAATATTTCCTAAGAAAGTAAGTACAGGATGAAAACAAAAGACTAGATTAGAGATTTTAGTGACTTCCAGCATTTATCAGAATAATCCTTATATATAAATGTGTGACTTTCTTTTTAATTTTACTTTAGTCTCTTACACATATTTTCATGAAATAACCAGAAATTGTCAATTAGATCCATATGCTGATTATCTCTGTTCTGAATCTGTTGACATTTGATCCCTTCTTTGTATTTTGAATTATTGTTTTTGAACTCACATTCCATCCACTCAAAAAATTTTAAACTTAGCTTTATGTTGAGTATACACACTTACAGTATAAATGAAAAATAAAAATATACAAAAAATAAGAAATTCCTAGAAAGCTAAATCAAAGTCATCCATGATGAATGGTAGCACATGTGTAATATATGTAGAAGTTAAAACTACAGTCACAACCATCACTGGCTCATTTTGTCCCCCTTAAAAATATATATTTTGTAGGCTACAAACTTTATTTCTAGTGTAAAATTTTCTATCACTGATATAATGTGCTGATATTTTTCTGCTTTCTATTGGACATCTTTTAGCAAACATCTTGAACATGTAAAAAATATTTGGTATTTTTAACGTAACTACATTAAGATAAAAATTAGGGTTCCTGCCAGTTGAGTTTGCATGATAACTAATTAATAGGGATTGATGGTAAATATTGAATGGAGCTGATGGTGATAATAACAGTGGCCTCCATGATAGGGCCTCCACTATAACACACTTGGCAATCCAGGTTCAGTTTCCATTGAACATGCACTTTTTACAAAAGTCACGAAAATCTCTTCAAATCTCTTAAAACAAGGAATATGATATTGTTTGATGTTTAAAATGTTTATATTTCTTTAAAAGATTCTACATACATTTGATTTGACTCAAATTTGGGGATTCACTAATGTGTGTGTTGGAAATTTTTAGTACTCCACTGGGATAATGAACTAAGTTATCTTTAATAACTTTTTCCCTCAGTAATTAATAACCACAGGCTGTTTTGATTCCTTACAGTCACTCTTGGAGGCCCATGACATTGTAGCATCAAAGTGTTATGATTCACCTCCGTCAAGTCCAGAAATGAATAATTCTGTCAATAATCAGTTATTACCAGTAGATGCCATTCGTATTCTTGGTATTCACAAAAGAGCTGGGGAACCATTGGTGAGTGGACAAGTCAGTGCCTTCTTATATCTGAAGTCTGACATACTTGTGGATCAGCCACTGTATATCATTTTTTTCTCTTATAACTTGTATTGTAATGAAACTTTATTTGCATATGTTTTATGTATTCCGTAGCCTCTATGTAAAATACACACTTGATGCCCTCTCAACTTGATTTAGCATACAAAATTTAATGAAGGTAAAAGTTAAATTGAGATAGAGGCAAGAAGAGGTTTGCTAATTGGTAGCAAAACTTTCTGAAAACAGGTACTGTATTTTTTCCCCTATATTCTTTGAAGAAATTATGTCAGGTTCCTTGCTAATGATAGTATCAAAACACAGAAGAAGTTATTAAAAATGAAGACATGGTAGGGCTCTATGAGAAGTGACATTTATATTTTCCTGCTAAAATTATTATTTCTGGATCCTGACTATAAAAACAGTGAAATGGAATAAAGAAAAGCCAGGAACAAGGCCATCAAAATGTACAACTACCCTTTCTTATTCCTTCGAGGTTCCTCTTATCCTGGGGAATGAAGCCTAATATGTTTCATTTCTTCATGTTCACCTTGCCACAGAAGTCTTTTTGTAAGGGTGCTATTTGTTGTCACAGTTGCACATGGTTAAAGGAGATTAGAATATTGACATAGGAGAGGACATAAGGAAAATAGGAAGGACTCATTTAATCTTAGAATTATTTTCTTATGTACACATATTCATGAGTGTATAAGATTTTCTTAAAAATCTAAAATCAATGACAATTCCATTTCTTATTTCCTTAAGGGTGTAACATTTAGGGTTGAAAATAATGACCTGGTAATTGCCCGAATCCTTCATGGAGGCATGATAGATCGACAAGGTCTGCTTCATGTGGGAGATATCATTAAGGAAGTCAATGGCCATGAGGTTGGAAACAATCCAAAGGAGTTACAAGAATTACTGAAGAATATTAGTGGAAGTGTCACCCTGAAAATTTTACCAAGCTATAGAGATACCATCACTCCTCAACAGGTTAGTAATGAAATTCTTGGTAATATTAAGAGTACTTTTATTTCTTTAATCAGCTGTTGGATATAAGCACCACTTGCTACTCTTTTGCTGAAGAGAGAAAATGTTTGATTTAATTGTTCTGAATTGCCTTATTTTATCATGGCTGAATTTTTGAATTTTTAAACAATTAATGTCATCTTAGTACTATAAAGGAATTAGTAAAGAAATCTCTTTGGGAACACCGTGAACCATGCCATTTCGGTAACGTACAGCTAGGTACCAGAAAAACCCTAAAGCCTTTTAGTCATTAATCTAGTAGACTTTTTTGATACCTATTATGTTCCAGGCCCTGTGAGAGAATAATGTAGTTTCAACCACCTATAGCTTAGTGTGCACATGATGGACTAGAGCAGTGATTTTCTATTAGTGTGCTGCAAGAAGTTTTAAAACATGCAATACCAGACTATTTAGTCAGGGACAGTGACCTCTTTTCCCTTAGATTCTCAAATTAAAAAATGACAACAGCCAGCACAAAAATAGCTCTCCGGTGTAAATGAATCAAAATTGTACCTATTTTTTTTTTGGTCACATGAGCAGAATATATACTCTTCGGTGTGCCGTAGAACTTCAGTGACTAGTTTATGTGTGCCATGGGATGAAGACGGCTGAAAATCGCTGTTGTAATAGAATTATAAAGGAGGGAAAAGTAGTGAAATAATTACAGAGAAACAGTTGACAATTATTGTAGGAGTGTTAGAACTGAGGAGAGGGTTTTCAACCCTAGATAATGTAGAAATAAGAGATACCTACCAGTGTTTTATTTTTTTTAACTTATGTTAAAACCAATGTTTATTTTTTATATGTATTGTTCAGTTACAGTTGTCCCACCTAGTACCCTGTTACTCACCCCTCCCTTACCCCCTCACTCCCACACAGTGTCCCCCATTGTCTGTGCCCATGAGTCCTGTATTCATGTTCCTTTGCTAGCCCCTTCCCCTTCTTTCCCCCATTATCCCTCTCTACCAGTGTTTTAGATGCCTTTAATTGATCGGGTTTGTTCCAGAAATTTATTGTTTCATGTGGGAGTGTAATTTTAAGATTTTTTTTAATCTAAAAGTACTACTAGTGTATCTTATTTTCATAATGTTAATATGAAAATTTAAAAGGCATTTTCATTTCCATGAAAATGTTTGAAATAACATGTTGAATACCTGTTTTATATTGTTACTCAGAGGATAGGATAGAATATTTAGGCATGATTTTTATGTATAAATTGGACTTCTGAAAGCCTTACAATTAAATTTGGTGGGAATGAAGGTAGAGAACTTGTCTTCAAGGAAAATAATTATTTGCTTATTTCCATCTTGATAAATAGAACCACAAATTTAATTTTTTAAAATTATGTCTTACTTATGTTACTTAGGAAAATTTTTTCACCCTGTAGTCCAAACTCCAGAATTCTTACCAGCTCACCATGCCCATAATGGACTTTTACAGGAAAAATAGTTTTTTAAAATATTAATAGCTAGGGCTTTGGCCTAAATTCCTCTATAGATTCTACAAGTGGTGAACTAATCTGAATAGCATGAGATGCAAGGATATTTAGCTCTATCTTGGGCATAAATTTTTTCTTATCCTATGCCTTCTCAAACACTGGTTTTTATTTAGCCTTAGGAACTGGGAGAAGGGATTGAAATGGGAAAAGAGAGGTCATCCAAGCCTGTGGCTTTCAGACCTATCCTACCATAAAAAAAAAAGAAAGAAAGAAAGAAAAGAAAAGAAACTGTAACATGAAGTCTTCAAACTGGAGAGCTAATGCATATCCATATTGGGACTTTTTTAAGGTGAAAGGGGGAGCAACTGCTAATTATGCTATAACAACAGGCATAAATAAGGAGTGTCCTGGACGAACTATGGTTATCTTACTTAAGAGATACTAGGGAGAAGCAAGAACATTTAGCCTCTTCAGCTCTAAAAGAGTTGCTGTGAGAGCAGATGGAAGCCAGGAGCTCTGCCTCCCCACTGTGCTGTTTTTCAAAGCATGGTCAGTAGGTCATCCCTATCAGTATCATTTGAGGTGCTTACTAAAAATTCTAAGGACCTATATGTTAAAATTTGAAGACTAAAGTAAATTAGAAGTTGTAGTTAATTCTAAAGTTCTTCAAAGTACATACAGAGTTCCCAAAGGCTGTTTATAATTCCAATTTTGTTCATTAAAGCCAAATTGAATTCTATTTTACTTGTTCTTTGAGGCCGATATAACCCAGGTACTAAAAAATATTATAAGAAATTAGAACTTCCAGCCAAGATGGAGGCATAGGGAGATACACTTTACTTCCTCGCACAACCAATACAAGGACAACAACAAATTTCAAAACAAAAAAACAACCAGAACTGCCAGAAGATTGAACTGTATGGAAGTCCAGTAACCGAGGAGTTAAAGAAGAAATATTCATCCAGACCTGTAGGAGGGACAGAGTTGGGAAGCTGGGGCGGAGAGGATGTTAGTGAGATGGAGGCTGGTGGACCAGGCAGCCCCACATTCGTGTTAGGATAAAGCAACAGGAACAACTGTGGAGCAAGACACAGTGCAAACCAGGGTTCCAGTGCAGGGAAATAAGCCTCAGAACCTCTGGCTGTAAAATCCTGTGGGTTGTTGTGGTGGAAGAAACTCCCAGTCTCACAGGAGAGTCTGTTGGAGGGGTCCTAGAACATACACAAACCCACCCACCCAGGAATCAGCACCAGAAGGGCCCAATTTTCTTGTGGGTATCAGGGGAAGTGACTGAATGTGGGGCGAGAGCCCAGCAAGTGGCATTGTTCCCTCTCCGACCCCTCCCACACACACAGCGCCACACTGTAGCTACATGGATTGCCTCGCCCTGGTGAATACCTAAGGCTCCACTCCTTACAACATAAAGGGTGTGCCAAGACAAAGAAAAATGTCCTAAGTGAAAGAACAGATCAAAACTCCAGAAAGAAAACAAAGTGATGAGGAGCTAGCCAACCTATCAGATGCAGAGTTCAAAACACGAGTATCAGGATGCTCACAGAAATGATTGAATACAGATGCAAAATAAAAGAAGAAGTGAAGCCTATACAAAGTGAAATAAAGAAAAATATACAGGAAACCAATAGTGAAGGGAAGGAAACTGGGACTCAAGTCAGTGATTTGGGACAGAAGAAAGAAGTAAACATTCAACCAGAACAGAATGAAGAAACAAGAATTCAAAAAAATGAGAGAGGCTTAGGAACCTCTGGGATAACTTTAAACATTCTAACATTTGAATCATAGGGGTTCCAGAAGGAGAAGAGGGGAGCAAGAAATTGAAAACTTATTTGAACAAATAATGAAGGAACACTTCTGCAATCTGGCAAAGGAAATAAGCATGCAAGTTCAGGAAGCTTGTCCCAAAGAAGTTGTACCCAAGGGGGAACACACAAAGACACATCATAATTAAGTTACCCAAGATGAAAGGAAAGGAGAGAATCTTAAAAGCAGCAAGAAAAACAAAGGAGTTCCCATAAGACTCTCAGCAGATTTCTCAAAAGGAAACTTGCAGGCAAGAAAGGGCTGGAAAGAAGTATTCAAAGTCATGAAAGGCAAGAACCTATATCCAAGATTACTCTATCCAGCAAAGCTATCATTTAGAATGGAAGGACAGATAAAGTGCTTCCCAGACAAGATCAAGTTGAGGCAGTTCAGTATCATCAGGCCCTTATTATATGAAATGTTAAAGGGACTTATCTAAGGAAAAGAAGAAGATCAAAAATATGAACAGTAAAATGACAACAAGCTTACAACTTTCCACAACTGAACCTAAAAAAACAAAAACAAAGCAACCAATTGGAATAGGACAGAATCACAGAAATGGAGATCACATGGAGGGTTATCAGCGGGAAGGAGGGAGAATACAGGAAGAGGTACAGAGAATAAGAAGCATAAGTGGTAGGAACAAAATAGACAGGGGGAGGTTAAGAATAGTATAGGAAATGGAGAAGCCAAAGAACATATATGTACGACACATGGACATGAACTAAGGACAGGGGGGGAATGCGGGTGGGAGGGGTGGTGCAGGGCAGAGGGGGATAAAGGGAAGAAGAAAATGGGACAACTGTAATTCCATAATCAATAAAATATACTTAAAAATATATAAGAAATTAAAGTTTCATTTCACTCAAGGATATGTATGTAAAAATGCTCCAAATATTAACATGTGAAATGTAATCATGTATAAAAATAATTATACAACATGTCCAAGTTGGATTCATCCCATGTATGCTAGGATGGTTTCATATCAGAAAATCCATATATGTAACCAAGCACATTAACAGATTAAAAGGGAAAAACCTCAGTAGAGAATTTTATAAAATTCAATACCTATTCATGATTCTTTAAAAAAGATTAATGATTTAGGAGCAGGAAAGAGCATTTTAAATCTCACTTTTAAAAAATTGAACAAACATTTTGAATAGTTAGTTGACTGTTGGAAGCATTCCCTTTAAAATCAGGAACTAAGACCCTCAGCTGGTCTGCCTGACACTACTTGAGTGCCAAGAGAAACTAGCCAAACTTCCGGCGTAATTGTGTGGTAACAAGGAGTTGCCCTGAGATGATATATGGAGTAGCAGGTGATAACACAAATATCTCTTAGATGATAAAAATCTTCAGTTCTTAAAGTAGGAGTAAATAGTATCTCTGATATCAAAGAGGCAAGTATGCATGCAAACCAGGGAATGGTGACCCACTTTGACAATCCTAACGCTCAGCCATCTGTGGCAGCAAATACTTTCACCATTATCAGCCATGTTTAGACAAAGTAGCTGACAGAAATGCCACCCAGCATCTTAGACCAGCTTAATGTTGGCAAGCCTAAGGACACTGGCAGAAGCCAGATGGAAAAGTACTACTTGGTTTTGGGGAAGAGGGTAATATTGTTCAGAATTTTAATGAGGGAAATGGATTTGACTCAACTTCTGAAAAAAAAAATAAAACTTCAAGAATTTTGACTGCTTTAAAAATTTTTGTTTAGTATGTAATGAAATTCTGAGCCTCCCTTGACACTGCTGCTTTTTAAATTGTTCTTTATACACATTTATTTGTTGTCATTCATTAAGCCAAAGAAGCCAGCACATAAAGTTTAAAGCAGATTAAGTCTTTGCCTATTTTTTTTAGAAAATTAAGAACTAGAGAACAATGTTCACTAGCACCACTTCTATGCACTACTTTATTAAAAGTTCAGTAAGCACAAAAATACAAAATATAAAAGCAAAAGGTTTAAATATGAGACAGTAAAACTTATTTTCAAATAATTATTTTTTGAATGGAATAGAAACTTCCCAAAATTATTTGAAAAACAGAATTTAGCAAGGTACTTGAAAATAAGATTAGTATGCAAAAGTCAGCTACATTTCTATATGTCATCAGCAAACACCCAGAAATGTAACTAAGACATTTACAGTAGTCAGAAAATGTCACATTTATGTCTAGGAATAAATCTAACAAAAATATTCAAGATGGCTACACACAAAAACGTTATGATGAATATCTGAATAAACATCAATATATATCATGTTCATGGACAGAAAGAGACTATTGTGAAGATGTCAATTTTCCTCAAATTGACTTGCAAATCTGATGAAATTCCAATAAAAATTCCAATGGGTTTTTCATGGTATTCAACAAGATGAATAGCCAAGTCGCTTCTAAGTCAGAAAAGCAGAAACAGGTTTATTATTAAGGTGTAGGGAGTAAGGTATTTTCAAAAGTGGTGGCGCTAACTTACATTCCCAGCAGCGTTATATGAGAGCTTCAGGTACTGCCCATCTTCACCACCTTTTGGTGTGGTCAGTCTTTACCTCGTATGATTTTAATTTGCGTTTTCCCAACAACTACTAACATTAAGCATTTTTTCATGTGTTTATGCCATGCTTATGTCTACTTTGGTGGTATCTTCAAATCTTTTACCCATTTTTTGAGTTGTATGTTTTCTTGTCATTTGGCTTTGAGAATTTATGTCTTCTGGATACAAGTACTTTATCAGAATTAAGATTAACAAAGATTTCTCCCGGTGAAAAGGCTTGTCTTTTTCATTCTCTGAACAGTATAATACAAAGAGTTTCTAATTTTTTCTTTTTATTGAATTCATTAGGGTGACACTGGTTAGCAGAATTATACTGGTTTTAGAGGCACAACTCTACAACACATCATCTGCACACAGCATTGTGCACTTACCACTTCAAGTCAGATCTCCGTCCACCACCATTTGCCTGCCCTATACCCTCCTCCACCTCCCTCACCCCCACCCCCAGCCCACTTTACTGTGGCAGTCACCACACTGTTTTCCGTATCCGTGAGTTTTTTGCTCAATCCCTCTACTCCCTCCCGACAGCTGTCAGCCTATCCTCTACCTGTGTGTCTGTCACTGTTTTGATGAAGTCCATTTCGTCTATTTTTTTATTTATAAAACAAAGACACTTTTATGATTAAAAATTTTGCTTTTGTTATTCTGTGTAAAAACACTGTTGTCTAACTTAAAGTCATAAAGATTTTCTCCTATATTTCCTTTTTAAAAGTTTTATAGTTTTGCCCTGCCCAGTGTGGCTCAGTTGGTTGGAGCGCCATCCTGTAGACCAAAAGGTCGCAGGTTCGATTCCCAGTTGGGGTGCATATGAGAAGGCAAGCAATCCATATTTCTTTCTCTCTCCTCCTACCCCTCTCTCTCTCACTCCCTCTCCCCATCTTCCTCCCTCTCCCTCCCTCTCCCTCCCTCTCCCTCCCTCTCCCTCCCTCTCCCTCTCTCTCCCTCCCTCTCCCTCTCTCTCCCTCTCTCTCCCTCCCTCTCCCCACCCCTTCCCCTACTCCGTCCACATCTTCTCTCTCTCAGAGCAATAAAAAAATATCCTTGAATGAGGCTAAAAAAAAGTTTTATAGTTTTATGCTTTACACCTAGTTCTATGATTCATTTACTTTATGAATTTTTGTATAGGGTGTTTTCGTATAAGATAATCAAAGGGTTTGGGGCATTTTTTTGCATATAGATATCCTATATTTCTAGTTTCATTTGTTGAAAAGGCTGTTTCCTTCATCAAATACAGAAAAAAAATTACCATTATTTCCTCAGATATTTTTTCTATGCATCTTTTTCTCTTATCCTTTGGCGACACTAGTTACATGCATATTTGTGTCTGTGAGTTGTCCCATAGCTCACTAATACTCTGTTCATTTATTTCAATTTGGTTTTCTCCTAATTTTTCACATTGTATAGGTTCTATTGCTATGTCTTCAGGTTAACTAATCTTCTGAAATGTCTAATCTGCTCTTAATCACATCTGGTATAGTGTTCGTCCCAGACATTTTGGTTTTCACCTGTAGAAATTCAATTTGAGTCTTTTTTGTATCTGGCACATTTTTACCTGACATGCCCATTTCTTCTTCTAGCTTCTTGAACATGTAAATAAATATGTAAAGTGAAAAGAACTATTTTAGTGTTCTTGTCTATTAATTCAGTCATATTTGTCATTTTGGGATCACTCTTGATTGATTTTTCTGAACATTTTAGGTTATATTTTCCTGCTTATTTGCATGCCTGGTAATTTTTGATTGACTGTCAGACATCACGAATTTTGCCTTGTTGAGTGCTGGACGTTTTTGTATTCTTAGAAATATTCCTAGGCCTTGTTGTAGGATACTTAAGTTACTTGGGAGCAGTTTGATCCTTTTAGGTCTTGCTTTTAAGCTTTGTTAGGAACTGCAGCAGGATTAAGTGTAGGGCATAACCCCTCTTAATATTCAGTGCCTCATGAATGATGAGGTCTTCCCATTCATCCCGGTGAACTACAGGCTATTTTTGACCCTGTACAAACTCCTTAAATTGTCCTCTAATGCTGGTTCTTTACTTGGCCTTAAGCAGTGTCCTCAAACATGAGCACTGATCAGTACTTTGCTGAAGACCCAAGTGAGTGCTCTGCAGTTCTTGAGCCCTTTCTGAGTGTCACCCTTTCCTCACTGATTATTCTGTACACTGTAGCCACCTTGGTCTCCTGCCCTCTCCTCAACTTTTGCAGACCACCGGGCTCCACACAGATTTTCCTTTTCTGAGTTGCACAGTGGAAACTTTCTCTGTGCCATTGGCTGGAGCAAGTATATAGCTGATCTTGCTCCTGCATTTTAGGAATCAGCATCTTCATTTTCTGATGTCTTGAAAAATGTTTCACATATTTTGTTCAGTGTTTTAGTTGTTTCAGGTTTGGGGTTCTTACTGCTTCATCTTAGAAGCAGGAATCATTTTATCTTTTATTGCTACATAAATTTAAGTTTTGTGTAAGTGAAATCAAGAAGTAGAAATTTGTAGTCAGTTGAAACCTCCTTCCTAATCTTCTACTAATCTAGTCCTTACTCACCTCATAGGATACCATGCTATTAATTTATCTTTCCAGAGTTTCTTTATTCATATGCAAGTAAGTAAAAAATTACATATTTTTCCCTTTCTGCCTCCTTCTTTACAAAAAGGTTAAATAGTGTACACCCTGTGAACCTTGTTTTTTTGTTTTGATTTGTTTTTTTAATTAACCACACTATCTTGAAGATCTTTCCGTTTTGATACATAGTCTGCCTGTGGAAATACACTGCCCCCCTTTTTAACATCTGCATAATGTTATATTACGTAGATTTGTTTAATTAGTTCCCTGACATTAAATAATTAGGGTGTGTCTGATCTTTTCCAATTAGGAATAATTCAGTAGTTAATAGTCTTATTCATAAGTCACTTTATATATATCTGAATAACATTACTGTTGAATATATTCCCAGAGGTGGATTTCTAGGTCAGAGAGTTTTACATTGTGATTTTGAAAGTTATTGCCAAATTGTCCTCCCAAGGGACTAAATCAGTATTTTTACCAACCTGTTAGAAGAATGACTCCAGCCATGGTGTATCAAGTATTTTTATTTATGCTGATCCGACAAGAGCCAAGTGTGTCATAATATAGTTTTAGTTTGTTTTCTACTCTGAGTGAGGTTGAACAGCTCCTCCTATAGTTAAAAGCCATTTGTACTTCCCTTTCTCTCTTCCATCTACTTTAGATTGTTAGTCATTCAGATCTCTCTTTTAATAAGAATGTGAGATTGAAATATGTTAGGTTGTATTTAGAAACTTTTTAATAAGGAATGACCAGTTAACATCCATAGCCTATTAGTGAAACAGTTTAAAATGCACTTAATAAAATATAATTATACTAGACAAATCTCTAATGATTTTAAGGTTACTATAAAACTAAACTATAAAATGTTTATAGTTTATATAAAATGTTTATATAAAATGGTCTAAACTATAAAATGTTTAGATCAAAGATTGGGTTCATTCTTTCATACAAATTTTCAAAGTTAAAAGTAAGACCAGTTTATGTAAGTTTTTGAGCATAAAAGTAATGTTCCAAAACTAATTTAATAAATTAAAAAATAAAAATTATTTCCTCTAGAAACCCTTTACTTTACATTTGAAAGGTATGGTTTTTGTTCCACAAACAATGACATTTTCAGAATAATTTGATGGGAGTTGGGGAATGAATATTTGGAATATGGGCAAACTCAGAAAATCTGAGCTTTATGGTTAAAAACATAGTCTGTCCCGCAGGGAAGAATTACAGACGTCGTCATGGTGATGACATGGCACTCTCATTACTCATCAGTGCAGCTTTCTTGAGAAGTAAGAGGTCTCCTAGTGTTTTTACAGCTTTGCATGCTCGTGCTTTTTCTCTGCCCCATCTCAAACCCCTCAGACTTTCTGCTTCTATCGTTTATAATTTTCAGATAGTATACTATATGGACAATTATTTAGGGAAGTAGTTGCTTTACCAAATGAGTGAAGTAATAAAGTGGGCCAGTACTTTGTTTCTATTTTGTTGATTTATTATCACTTTAAAGCCTGGCTTTATTTATACAATGAAAAAATATGTTTCTAGAGTTGCATCAAAACGGAGAGGCATCCAGCACACACCCATCAGGTATGATGTCATTCCAGGACAGCCTCTGGTGCTCCGCTTTTCTGTCTCACCAGCTGACTAAATCTGCCTTGATTGAACTTAGTCGTTCGGGGTTTTCTCCATTGCCAGATCGTTGAGCTGCATGTCATTGTCAAGTTACCAATTGTCACATTTTAGGCTATCTTAATATTATTTATATGCTCGCTTTTTTAGATATGGCTAAAATTGTATCTCAGAAAAAATGATTGACTTGCTAATTTTTTTTAAACACTAATATCTAGCCTTTCCAAAGTTGTTGAAAATGTTTTGAATGCTTTCTTTTAAAACCATCTAGTTGTAAAAAACTAAAATTCGGTCACATGTTCCCATATTTAATTATTTTTAAATCATTTAATATGCATCCATCACATTACATTTTACTGCACTAATAAGGTGTTAATGTGTGTTATGTGAATATCTGGTGTTATATTTATAGGCATATGATAAAAAATAGAAAAATAACATTATTTTGACTAATTATGCGTTTTTCCTGCTTGTTAAAGTTTACCTGCTGATTAATGCTAAGTCAGTTCTTTAGAAGATAAAATTTGAATTTCTATAAATATGCATGAAAAGTTTGTTTTAAGAAAAATTATGTCTGAACTTGCTATCAAATACTGAAAATGCTTAGCTTAATTAGAATTCAAATTGAAGTAAATAAGCAAAATATTCTAGATACTGGAGATCATAACTAACTGATAACTGACATATCTTTATTGATAAGACAGATTTAAAAGAAATCTGTATAGTTAAAATAATTTAAAGTAGTTTTAAGCCTTTTTCAGTATTTGTCTTACAATTAGTTTAATGATAATCAAAAAATTAAAGCAAGATGATTCCAGAAAAGTATTTTCCACACTTGTTTTGTCCAGTGTAAGTCTATGTGAAAAGAAAATTAATAACAGGGATGAAAGTTGGTATTTTTTTCAAGGTTACTAAATATAGTTCAGTCCATCTTCAACATGAACTTTTATTATTTAATTTTGGTTTCAGAGCTCTTTCAAAAAGTCAGTCCCAATATGTATGAAATATATGCCTTCAATCAACTGCATATGTTGTTTCAGAATGTTAATTAGGAAGTAGCATTTGCTTGCATAAAAATTATGCAGTGTTGGTTGGAAATTCATGTGAAAAGAAAGGTGGAATTAATGGTTGTCAAACACTGTTTATTTAAGATTAGACATTAAAATAGAAACAAAATTTTAATGTAGTGTTAATGTTTATTTTGTATTTTCTTTTCTGATACCAAATTATTAATGTCCTAATACTTTCATTTTTATTTGAAAGATAAGTTCCTTGGTCAAACTATTAAATATGTCGTCGAATCCCTGGACTGTGTAATTTTTGTTGGTTGGAATGTCCTCCCGTAAACCAGAAGGTTTCCAGTTCAATTCCAGGTCCAGGCACATGCCTAGGTTGTGGGTTCGATCCTCGATCAGGGCATGTATGAGAGGCAACTGATTGATATTTCTCTCTCACATTGATATTTCTCTCCCCCCTCTCCCTCCTACCCTTCCCTTCTCTCTAAAATCAATAAGCATGTCCTTGGGTGAGGATTAAAAAAAATAAAAATAAATACATTATTAGTAACACTGAACTCCAAGTGTTTTGCAAAAGATTTCAAACATTCAGTGACAAATGACAGTCTATAGTATTTTTTATTATTCTGTGTGCTTTAGGTATTTGTGAAGTGTCATTTTGATTATAATCCATACAATGATAACCTAATACCCTGCAAAGAAGCAGGATTGAAGTTTTCAAAAGGAGAAATTCTTCAGATTGTAAACAGAGAAGACCCAAACTGGTGGCAGGTTAGTACGCTTCTCAGAGTTTCCTCAACTGCTTTTTTTGTTTCAGTCTTAGATCTGGCCAATATTTGAATCTTTAGGAAGATGGTATTATTAGCATTTGTTCCAATGTCTCTTCCTGCATAAATAGCTCCTGCTTCATGGCTGCTGATTTTATGGATAGAAGACCAAATTGGGAGAGAATTTGTGAGTAGCTGTTAATCAATGCAGAATTAAGTAGCCTGTGATGCCATCCCTGGTTTAGGGATTAGACCAGTCGGTTCTTCCTGACGGGTAATTGCAGTAAGATAGAGAATTGGGTAAGAACAACTCGTTTGGGGTCATCCCTTTTCAAAAAGTGTCTGTTTTTGTTTGTTTTAACCAGGAGTTTTTTATTGTGGTTGTAGTAGCTTTTCTCTTGTCTCCCCTTCTTCTGAATACATTCATGGCAAATAAAACAATTTTTTAAGCTCTTAGCTCTTAAATCCATTTGCCTACCTCTCCTCATTTATTGAGGAGTGAAGGTGTGCTGTATCATCAGTGATGTTTTAGATTGTGGATTGAAATGTGTGTATGGAACAGGGTGTGTGTTAGCACTGTATTTTGTCCCCCTGGTTTTCCAGATCTGTGTGATGGTGTTCTTTCTCCTTTCCCTTAATACAACTTTCAGAAATCTCTAGCAGCCATAAGTCTGTTTTTGTCATTGTTTGCATCTGCTAACAACCACAGTGTTCAGAACCAGAGAAACTAGGAAATTGAAAGTCTAAATTTCCTTAAGCGATCCGAGTCTTGTTAAAGAACAAGCTGTGAGAAAAGGACCCAGAACTCAGCACTAAACTCTAAATTACACTGATATATCAGTAATACAATTAGCTCTAATAAGTTATATTGACTTCTCAGGGCAATGAATTAGAAAAATGAGAACAATCTTACTAAGGTGTCCTTAAATTTAAATTAAGACAATATGTACAACTGGTTAGAAAACGAAGAAATAGAATTCTTGATGTCAGCAGCTTTCCACTGATTTTCTCAGACTGGTCACCTGAAATACCTGCCTTCTGTGGCTGTGTCCTTCATTGAATTTTTCCAGTTTCTATTTTCTGAGTTTTTGAATGCCATCTCTTAGTTTTCTTGTCTAATTCTTTCACCATTATCTCAATTTCTTCCTGCATTTTGTGGTTTCTTCCTTTAATTCTGTCTTTTGGGATTGTAATTGCTAAAAATGTACCATATTTTTGTATGCTATTTTGTAAGGATAAAGTCACTGACTTTGTGGAATAAGCCCCTAGGTAGCCAGTTCTCTGACTACTAGCACTTCTTTGGTTTTTATTTTAAAAGTTTCTTGACAGTAGTTGAAGTTTTACCTCCTTAAACTTACTACCTCTGAGGATATTCAGATTGCTGATAGCGTGAATTTAAAGCTCCACTCTGTTTCCCACTGCTCTCTCTCTCTGATGTGGCCTCAGGAGATACCAACATGGTGGGATGAAGGTTGGTAGAAAATATCTTACTAGAGGATGCTGGATGAAATGTCCTGTAAACACACGGAATAGCATTTGTTCCTTTCCATTCTTGACTAACGTAGTATTATAAGTAAAAAGTTTTGGAAATTTGAAGAGCCTATCTACTTTTGTCTTTTGGTCCCCAAATTTTCCTACCAGGTGGTGGGTGGATTGATTGATTAGGTGCCACTCAATTCCTTAATGCTAAAGTGTTTAAATAATTTGACAATGCCGTGGATTTAAATTGCAAGGTCAGTTTTTAAGAGCAAATGTGGTATTTTTATTTTACTGACTACTGCTTGTCCTACTTTTTAGAATATCGTCTCAAATTTTGGTCACTGACATACACAATTCATTAATTTGATTCTAGGCTAGCCATGTAAAAGAGGGAAGAAGCGCTGGTCTCATTCCAAGCCAGTTCCTGGAAGAGAAGAGAAAGGCATTTGTTAGAAGAGACTGGGACAGTTCAGGTGATGAGCTACACAATAAGTAACAAGTCATCCTTTGTGGCCACCTTTCTTTACCTCTTTCATCTGAATTAGCAAATTACTTTATTTAATAAATATCTAAAATTAATCCCCATCTGCTTTATTGTATCTCTCTCAAACGTAAACTTTTGATTCCTTTTTGCCACCTGGTGGTATGGTGTCAGAATTCAGTGGCTCAGCTGCCCCCTTCTGCTTTGTAGGATGCAGCAGTGGGGAAATAATTTTTCCACTCCTATAGAAAACCACAGGGCAGTTTTATCATATTTTGACATGCTGCTTAGGTTATATTTGTCTTGTCATCCTTCAGGACCTTTTTGTGGAACCATAAGTAGCAAAAAAAAGAAAAAGATGATGTACCTTACAACCAGAAATGCAGGTATGTTTGCAATACTTTTTGAGAAGTCTAAGTGAAATAGCTTTATATTATTAATCAGTGTGGCATAAGATCTAAATGTATAATTTTCAATGAGTATAACTCAGATTATACCCAATTCATATGAATGCATAGTACAATATAATATAAAGACATTATTTAAATCCCAATATTACACATGTTTATACTGTCACCAATGTGCTTTATTTTATGAGTATAGTTTACAATACAGTGACTTGGTTAGGATTTGTGCTTGTGTTAATAAAGGAGCAATTTATAATTGAAACTATTCGTTCAGAGAACTTTGATAGTAATTTATGTGTCATTTCTAAAGAGCAAAATGCCTTTATGGAGGTATTAAAAAGTTACAATTGAGGCAACTATATTTGGCCTAACAATGTCCATCATACTTTTGGGAAAATAGTCCTGAACCAAGTCTTAGTCTCATCTCCCCAGGCCAGGTGGCTTCGCCGGTTAGAGCAGAGACCTGTACACCAAAATAAAAGAAAAAGAAAAAGAAGTATCAGTCTAATCTCTTAGAATTCTTTCTTAAATCTTTTAGACTTAAGGAAAGATAAATATGACAACTCCCATAGTTATTCTTTTCATTTTTAGAGGCTGATAGGAGTGAAACATAGCTCTGGAAACTTACTCAAAGGAGTTGTCCGTCTTAAAGTACTTTCTTTAGTTCAGAGCTGCCTCTTTACTGGTATTAAACTAAATAGCATACTATAAAGGAAATAATATAATAATACATTATAATAATATAATAATGAGAAAATAGGCTCTCCCTTAATATCAGTTTAAAGGAGTTGCTGTTAAAATAACCTAAGGAAGAAGTGTTGTTACTATAGATTGAGAGTTATAGCCATAATAACGGCAATATAATATTTCAAACTCAGTTTAGCCTTATTAGTCATTAAATATATGTTGTTAAAGCTTTTTTGGAAAATAGGAAATTTGTATTTTTCTATTGAATAAGATTATCATTTTGGAATGTGATAATTTGCATTACTGAAAATAATTTGGATCCTGTATTTTATGTTATACATAAATTTAGAATCTTAATAATTAAATGTCAGTATGTTTTCTACATTGATTGTATTGATTAATAAATGCAAATACATGCAAACTGGTATTTGCGGAGTCACTAAGGCAGTATTTATTCATTTATATCACTGGAAGGGCATACTTATTCTACAAGAACTTATTTAAGCAGCCACGCTAGGTATACTGCTGTCCTCCATATTTGATACACTATTTTTTGTAAGACTGAATGTTTTATAAAGATTTTATTTTTAGAGAGAGGGAGGGAGAAGGAGAGGGAGAGAAACATCAATGTGTGGTTACCTCTTCATGCCCCCTACTGGAACCTGGCCCACAACCCAGGCACGTGCCCTGACTGGGAGTTAAACCTGTGACCCTTTGGTTCACAGGCCAGCACTCAATCCACTGAGCCACACCAGCTGGGAATGATACACACTTTTTAGCTGAATAAATTATATAAACTATTTGTCACTGAATTATTTATTTTAAAGGAATTATTTCTACTCATGAATTGATAAAAAAAAGATTTTATGAATAAAATATCTGGTAAGGTTGAAGCAAACATTTTTCTATCTTGGCTAGACAAATTTTAAGAGCACATGGATGGAAGCAGATGTTTAAATTAAAATATAATTTTTTGTACTTTACCCAATTAATAAAAATAAATCTGTACTGCATACAATTTAAATGATATTTAACTATCAAGGCAACTAAGACATTACTGAACAGAATAACAGAGATTTATTTGTCCCCATAAAAGACAATTGAATATGATGTTTTCCATTTCCTTTTACATTTAGAATTTGATCGTCATGAGATCCAGATCTATGAGGAGGTAGCCAAAATGCCTCCCTTCCAGAGAAAGACGTTAGTACTAATAGGAGCTCAAGGTGTGGGACGAAGAAGCTTGAAAAACAGGTTCATAGTGTTGAATCCCACTAGATTTGGAACTACAGTGCCATGTAAGTTTTTGTGTTTTCTTTGCTATTTAATTGGCAGGAAAATGTAGTGGGGCAGATTATTATTATCATCTTTATTCCCAAATAATTTTTTATTATATCAGCGAACACAAACAAATAGAAGATACTGAAAAGTACAGCTGTCTTGAGATAACACTATTTCCCTGTCAACCTGCTGCTTGGGGGCAGTCACTTCTCCAGACTCCTGCCTCCAGAAATGTTGGTTAATACAAGCATCGGGAGTTGTGGCAAAGTCAGCATCAACTTTGTATTTCCTTTTACCATCTGACGCTGTATTTTCTGCCCAGTTTAGTGTAAAGAAAAGAGAGATCCTCAGACACTTCTCACTGTGGCAATCCCTTTGTTAGTTTGTGTGACCCTGCAAGATCATAAACCTGATTTTTGATGGCGCATCGAGAGTGATTCATCTTCCAGAGCAGGCAGCATTAATTAAGGTCTCAAAGATTGATGTACAAAATAAAATGATACTGATGGGAAGTACAACCTTTAAGGGAATCAAACACTTATGATGTTTGCATTCTTTCCCTATTTGCATATTACATGTTAAGTTCAATAATGATGTCAGAAGTATGCTTGATGAGAAGAATGGAATTAGATCAAGGAGTTAGATGGTATCATTGACTTACTATAAGGGCTAATATACATTTGTCTTTATTGTAAGGATCCATGAGCCTTTACTTGTGGGAACTTACATGCTCTGTCCCCTAAAGAATGCAGGAGGCAGGCCAGTGTCGCCTTTATAAGTCTCCTTTCTGTGCCTCTATTGCTGACCAAACCCCCTTATTTTGATTAACACAGTATTTCTTTAGGTATATTAATTTAATGCCTTTAAACTATTCCGAGTCAAATCTTAGCCTAATGTTACTGCATCTCTTTCAGATGAATTTTAGAGTTTCTCTATTTTCATCCTTTTTTGAGGTTTAGTTTGCAGTGAATAATCTTATTGCTGAAGTCCTCAGGGGCTGCTGGGAGAGTAACCTTATCACTGCCCCCTTGTGCTATTTTTTATCATCCCCTCAGGGTGAGGCTTTGGATTTCGTTGTAGGCACTATAAATCACTAAACTCTGACGGATCCTAGTTACGCAGTTGTAAAAAGCTCACTCTGGTCCAAGTATTTTTTGAGTATTTTAAGGTATTTTATTTTATCAAATTAATACATGTACAGTATTTTAGTTAAGTAGTTCTTAAGGACATTTAGTGGAAAAAATAACCATTTTCCTCTACCCCCACTTTGGGCCTACTTACAGAAACAGTTGCTTTTCTTTCTCTCTGCTGTCTCTTTTGGTAGTCTTCATGTTTCTTCATTGTCTGCATTCTGCTGCTTCCTGCCTTGTCCAGCGCGGGCCCCTTCTGTCGGCTTCCCGACTCACCTCCCAGCGTAAAGAAAGCCCCAGTTTCCGTTAATTCAGTGTTCCTTTCTCAGACGGCCTCCGCCTCGTCCCCCACCCAGCAATCTCTGGGCACCCTGTTTTCTTCTCTTACCTTGTTTCATGTGTATAGTTTTGTTTTGTTTTAAACCAGAGACTTACTCATTTATTAAGTCATGTTTTTTTCCTTGGAGACCTCTGTCTCAGAACCTCAGGCCTTTCACTTCAGGGAGCACCGCGCGCTGTCTGCCCCAGCCACCCCGCTGCCCCCACGGTGCTGCCCCCACAGTGCCGTTGCTCCTCCTCGCTGCTGTCCCGGGTTGGAGCCTTTGTTCCTGCATCTTCCTCTTCTTTCTTAGTTTATTGCCTTGTTTTTCTGGACACATCCTCTTGTAACTTCACCAGAAATGATGTATGGGATTAATTTCCACACTGTTGGAGTTGAAGATGTGTACTTTCTGCCCTGTATTTGATTGATTATTTAGCATAGAATAGAAATTCTGGATTGTAAAACTCACAAGATCTTACTTGAATATGGTTCTGTAAAGAAGTTCAGTGTCGTTCTAATTCTTGTTATTTCATACATGACCTGATTTTTCTTTCACAAATATTCAGTCTTTTGCTATACTTTGTTGTATTTCAATATTTTGAAATTTAATAATGATATGCCTTTGTGTGCATATTTTTTAGCTCATTGTGCTGATGATTAGTGGGCTTTCTGTCACAATAAATCTGCCTATCTGAACATTTCACAGAAATGTAATTATCCAATATGTGTGCTTTGTAATAAGCTTCTTTACCTAACATGGTTTCAAGGTTCATCCATGTTATAGGAGGTAGCAGTATTTAGTTACTTTTTATTGTTAAATGATACTCCATTTTATGGCTACACCACATTTTAGCTGTATATCAGCTGATGGACATTTGGATTGCTCTTTTTTTTTTTTTAGCTATAATGAATAATGCTGCTATTAACGTTTGTGTACAAGTGTTTATGTAGACATACGTGATTTGTTTTTCTCAGGTACATACGTAGAAATGGAATTAGTAGGTCACACAGTGACTGTGTGTGACCTTTTGAGAAGCTGCCACATTGTTTTCCACAGTGGCTGTACCATTTTACACTCCCAGCAATGCATGGAGGTTCCAGTTATTTTTTTAATTTTATTGAATTAATTGGGGTGACATTGGTTAATAAAATTATATAGGTTTCGAGAGTACAATTCTATAACACATCATCTGTATATTGTGTGTTCACCACCCAAAGTCAAGTCTCTTTCCATCACCATGCATCCCTGCTTTACCCTCTTCTACCTCCCCTTACCCCTCTTTGCCTCTATTAATCACTGTGCTGTTCTCTGTCCGTGAGGGTTTTATTTGTTTGGTTTCTTTGCTTAATCCCTTTACCTTTTTCACCCAGCCCCTCAACCCCACTCCCCTCTGACAGTTGTCTGTCTGTTCTCTGTGTCTATGAGTCTGTTGCTATTTTGTTAGGTTATTGTGTTCATTAGATTACACATATAAATGAAATTATATGGTATTTGTCTTTGTTAGACTGGCTTATTTCACTTAGCATAATACTCTGCATGTCCATCCATGCTGACCCAAAAGGTAAGATTTCCTTCTTTTTTATGGCCAAGTAGCATTCCACTATGTAAATATACCACAGCTCGTTTATCCACTCATCTACTGTTGGACACTTGGGCTGCTTCCAAGTCTTGGCTATTGTAAATGCCACTGCAATGAACATAGGGGTGCATATATTATTTTGACAGTGTTTTGGGTTTCTTCAGATATATTCCCAGAAGTGAGATTGCTGCGTCGTAAGGCAGTTCCGTATTTCATTTTGGGGGAACTATGTGCTGCTTTCCACAGTGGCTGCACCAGTCTGCACTCCCACCAACAGTGCACAAAGCTTCCCTTTTCTCCACGTCCTCTCCAGCACTCGTTGTTTGTTGATTTGTTGATGATAGCCATTCTGACAGGTGTGAGGTGATATCTCATTGTAGTTTCTCTTTTCTAGGAATGAAAAGAGAAATGTGTGGCAGTACAGTTTTTGTTTTGTCCTTTGAGTGTTCAGTAGAGGATGGGGGTGTAAAGTGCACGGGCAAACTAAAAACACTTGGCTAAGAATTAAGACTGCCTCGGCGCGTTGAGATGGCAGTGGGAGCAATAGGGTGCCTGTACACACGTATTTCTAGCAGCACAATCCCATGTACGTGGTTTCACTGTAGAGCTTCACCAAAAAATGGTACTCTTCTAAAACTGTGTTCACAGATACTGAGCCAAGTCCTAGGGTGTATTTATCCGGGGAGTTTTAAATTGTCTTAGAAGTTGTATCACACCATCCTTGGTGGATAGTTCTAGAAGCATTAGAGATCACCCAGTTTTGACTATAAAAGCCATCATCTTATCACCTTGAATATCTTTAAGTTACTTTGTAAATGCTATGCGTGCACATTGGTCTGAGATGATCACTCTCAAGGTTGAGCCAGAAAACAGCAGGAGAAAAGGGAGTCCAGTTGTACATAATGGTCTCACCAATTGGACCCTTATTATTGAGCTTAAGTTTGAAGTTCATTTTGTTCTTATAAAAGTTTTTTTGATGTGTAATGCTTTTTTTTTTAATATTTTATTTATTTATTTTTAGAGAGGGAAGGGAGGGAGATAGAGAGAGAGAGAGAGAGAAACATCAATGTGCGGTTGCTGGGGGTTATGGCCTGCAACCCAGGAATGTACCCTGGCTGGGAATCGAACCTGGGACACTTTGGTTCCCAGCCCGCGCTCAATCCACTGAGCTACGCCAGCCTGATGTGTAATGCTTATTACAAATAGTTAAAATGCCATCAACTTTTAATCTGGGTTACTTTCTAATTTTAATTGTATGTGTTTTTAATGTTTTTTTTTTTTCAGATATTTTGCATGTGTAAGTGCTTGATTAGAAGTTGAAAACTTTTTTATACTGATCCAGCTTAAACTGAGATTAAGGCTAAACTTGAAAGTAACACACACGCACACACTCTACCTCTCTTCTTCCAAGCGACTGTTAACAAGTTGGCAGAGATTACCAAATTTTGCACTTTTGCAACAGTTTGAAAGGTGATAATAGTCCATTCTTAGCAAGGCCCAAGTTGCAGAGGAATTGTGTGTCTCTGGAAGTACTTAGAGCTTTAAAATATCATACAACAGGATCCCTAAATTTTTACTCGGTCCCTTCATTCTCATTCTCTCAGCAAGGATACACATTGTATCAGAGTACAGAAAGTTAATGGACCTTAATAACCTTAATAACTTTGAGGTGGCTATTTAACCTTATAACTTTGAGGTCGCTAAAGTACAGAATAGAAAAATTAATGTTTAGGAGCATCAATAAGCAGGAAGCTAAAATAAAGGTGTTGAGATGAGATAAAGGATAGAGAACTTGTGGGTAAAACTACACTTCAGAAAAGTGATAATACTAATTAACTAAGAATAGGAGAACTTTGCCCAGTTGCTGGACACTCAATTAGGAAATGTTAAAGTATAAGGAAAGAATATAATTGATATTTCTTAAGGAGAAGGGGAGTGCTGGTCAGCTCAAAAAGATACTTTCTTGCAACATAATCTCACACTTACTATGATTCCCCATATTTAAGAATTTAAATATAGAACTCTACTTCCAAATAATTATATTTTGGTTAAAGCACATTTTTTTAGACAAATTGCATATTGGGGACTACCTTTTAAAACATTCCTATAGGTCAGGAATCAGCAAAACTGTTTTACTCAGGGGCCACATAGTAACTATCATCTAGGCTCTATCACAGCTACCCCGCCAGTAGAAAACAAATGGAACCATATGTGATAAAAAGCATGAGTGTAGCTGTTGTCCAATAAAACTTTATTTAAAAAATAACAAGCAGGCCAGATTTGGCCAGAGGCACTAAACGGAAAAAGCTTAAGCGACCCTGTTCATTTTAATCTATTTTCTAACATCCTGCACTGTCTTTGTATAAATTCTCAACATTATTTTATTTAGTTACTTCACGGAAACCAAGGGAAGATGAAAAAGATGGCCAGGCTTATAAATTTGTGTCACGTTCTGAGATGGAAGCAGATATTAAAGCTGGAAAATATTTGGAACATGGGGAATATGAAGGAAATCTCTATGGAACCAAGATTGACTCTATTCTTGAGGTGGTTCAAACTGGAAGAACTTGCATTTTGGATGTCAACCCACAGGTAAGCTGCATGGATTCCAAAGCTGTTTCTTTTACATTTTATTTCCTGTGGAGGTTTTGTTTTGTTTTGAGATTGTGAAGGTAGCTCTTTCCCTCCATTACCTGTTGGTGATAGAGAGCCATATTATGCATATGCATGAGTTAAATAAATCTGTGATCAATTAGTCAAGCATTAGAAATGTGATAGAAATTTAATATTTACTTGCCCAAGTAATATATAAATGCATACATTAGGAAATATTAAGTTTAAAATTTAAACCAAGTTCAAAATAGTCATGGGGATGTAAAGTACAGCATAGGAAATAGTGTTGATAATATTGCAATAACTACTCACGGTACCAGTTGAGTAGTGAAAATATCAGAGGGAACACTTTGTGAAGTATTTGATTGTCTAACCACTTTGCTGTATACCTGAAACTAACACAAAATAATATTAACTATAAACTGTAATTGAAAAAATCTTTTAAATTAAAAATGCATAAATAAAAGAATAAAAATTTGAAGTAACATCCATTCCTACCCAACACATACACATAAACATTCATTTCATGCTCATTGCAATTCATGTCTCTCTCACCAGCCCCTTACCACTACTCTGCACTTAACCCAAACTCACTTCTCTACTCAGAGATAAACATTGAGTTTGGTGTGTATCTTTATGTCTTTTTAATATGCCTTAAGTAAAGAAAATATATAATGTATGTGCACATATACATATATAAAATGTGATGGGTTTTCTATTTTCTATTTTTGTTCATTCTGTTCATGAATGGGAAAATCCTATACAAATTCTTTAGCTTTTTTCATTAAACAGTTTTACTTGAAGATCTTTTTATGTCAGTTACTATAGAGCTTTTTTTATTCTTTGCTGCTTAGTATTTCATAATGTGGATATATATTGATTTATGTAACAACTCTCCAATTAATAGATACTGAGATTAATTTCTGGCTTTTTAAATATTAACAGAATCCTGCAGTTAACACATAGAATGCATTTACATCATTTTTGATGACTTTTGGGTCATTAAGTTTGATGCTGTCCTTTGTTCAGGAGGATTAAAGAGTAGTGAGACTGAGGTCAGAACACAATTAATGGATCACTGTTTGGGGAAAGTATTGTAAGAATCAAAAGGATAGAAGTGGGGCAAGTGTTAAATTATATCCTTAATCCTTCGGAAGAGGGCAGATAGACTTTGATTATTTAGTAAATAAAGGGTAACAATACAAATTGGAATCCTGTGTATATTGGTGTATAATTTTTCTCCTACACAGGCCCTGAAAGTACTAAGGACATCGGAGTTCATGCCCTACGTGGTGTTCATTGCTGCTCCAGAGCTAGAGACGCTACGCGCCATGCACAAGGCCGTAGTGGATGCTGGCATCACTACCAAGCTTCTGACGGTGAGCAGTTAGTTCTTTTAGGCTGACAATATTATTTCCCCCTACAACTTGTCCTTGTCCTTTTCTTCTGAGATGTTTTAATGTTATATACTCATATTTATGAAATAAACATACTATATAAGGTATTAGAGAATAAAAATTCATTTACTAGATAAACTTAGGATTTGGAACAGTATTGTTTTAATGCAAAAATTATTGTTCACTTTATTTTAAAACAAATGTTTACTTCCTGTGTGCAAATGAAATGGGCCAGTGTTAAAACGTGCATATTAATCCAACCCCCTTATTTTACTAGTGAGGAAACTGGCCCCACTAACATTTCAGTTTCTGTTACATGCTTTCTCTCCTCCCTCTCTTTTTTCACACTGCGGGAATTTTAAAATATATACAAAAAGGAAATAAATGAACTTCCATGTGCCCATCACCTAGCTGCAATAACATATGGCCACTTTTGTTTCAATCATAGTTCTCCTCACTTCCTCGCTTACTTGGAGTTATTTTGAAGCAAATCTTTGATATCATATCAACCGTAAATACTTCAGTATTTATCTTTAAAAGATAAAGACTTTTCAAAATAGCCTTAACACCATTAACATGTAAAAAAATTAGTAAGAGCAGCTTAATGTCATTAATATACAATCTTTATTTGAATTTCCCCAAGATTTATAACTTTTTTATAGCTGCTTTGTTCAAATCAAGATCCAAATAAGATCAATACATTGCATTTACTTGATGTCTTCTAAATCTTTTTTCCCCAACTTGAGGTGTAATGGACATACAATCAACTGTACACATTGACAGAGTACAACTTAAGACATTTGTGCATATGTATACATGCATGAAGCCTTGGCACACAGTCACGGTAATGGACATGTTATCTCCTCCGAAAGCTCCCTGGTGCCCCTTCACAATCCCTCCCTCCTGCTGCTCCCACCTCTCCCCACACTGTAGCTGCTAAGTCTTAAAATCAGGTAATATTAGTCCTTTTTGCTCTTTTTCAGGTTACATGTCTAAACTTCACTTTCTGAATAGCTTCAGTATAGTTCCAAGTGTTTTCATATTGTCTGCTAATTCTAACATTTGTGTCAGTTCTGTGTTGGTTTTGATTGAATGACTGTTCCTCGGAATGGGTCATATTTTTCTGCTTCTTTGCAATCCTCTTTTTTATTGGATGCCAGGCATGAGCTTTGTTCTGGGATGCAGTTATTGTTTCTTTCAGGTCTTGCTTATCATATTTGTTAGGTAAGACCAGAGCAGTTCTCATTCTCAGGGCATTTCTTTTCCACTACTGAAGCAAGGCCATTCAAGCACTCTCCCAAATGGCCAGTGCATTGTGGGGTTTTCCCTTCTGCCTGGTGAGAACAGGTCCTGTTCCTGGTTCAGGATGAATACCTCTCAGCCTTTCTGCTGGCTCTTTGGTGACCTTGGGTAGTGGTACACATTCACGATCGGTACTTGGCCACATGCTAGAAGGGGACCTTTTGCAGGTCTTCAAAGTTCTCTCCCTGTGCTCTGCCATTCCATTCTGGTATTCTGTCCTGCAGACTCTTGGTCTCCCTGGACTCACAGCTCTGTCCCAGCTTAGAGGATCTAATAGGCTCCTTCTGGGCGATGCCCCGCTGTGTGGCAACTTCTGGAAACTCTTCAAGGCTGGTAATTGGGGTTGATCATAGGGCTCACTGCATTTGTTTCCAGTCTCCCTGGGATCTCTCTTTCGTTGCCTGTTTCATGATGTCCTAAAAAACTGTCGTTCCATACATTTTGTCTGGTTTAGTGGTCAGGCAGGAGGGTTAGCCTGATTCCTGTTAGTGCCTCTCAGCTGAAAGCAGGCATCCCTTTAGTCTCTTTTAATCTTAAATTCTCACTGCCTTCCTCTTCCCCTCTTTTAATCGACTCTGGTTCAAAAAATTGTCATTTATCCTCTCAAGTTGAATTTTGTCAGTTCTGTCTCTATTGCATCATTCCCCTCCTCTGTTTCTTGTATTTCCTGTGAACCGAGAGAGGCTCGACCAGGTGCAGGCTCCATTTTATTATTTTTTTCAAGAATAATTGATAGGTGGCACTTGTTTTGTTACATTATGAGGTATCCGAAAAAGGCTGTCTCTCTTTTTGTGATAAGATTGGGTTTAGACGTTGTGAGTCTGGTCTGTAAAGTTTCCCAGTAGTTTTTCACCTAATGATTTGGGCGGGGTTCATTGGTCTTTTCCTGGGCCAGTTATTGTGTTTTTAGGGATTGTAAGTTGGTAATATTCTAAGTTTGTGACTCTTTTCCAATTTTATAAACTAGAGTTCTTCTAAAAAAAATAACTGTTGCTCATCAACTAGTTGATTACTCTGAAGTAGAGTTCTATAGGAAAGTCAAGATATATGCTTGATACTTTCTTTTCCCTTTATGGGGCAATTTTCAGAGTAATGGGCTTGTTCCATAACAGCCTCCACAGGCAACAGGTGACCAACTAAGGTTTGGGTTATGTTTTTTAATATTTTATTTATCCATAGAGAGAGGGGAAGGGACGGAGAAAGAGGAAGAAAAACATCTTGATCAGTTGCCTGTCACATCTCCAACTGAGATGCTGGCCCACAACCCAGGTGTATGCCCTTGACCAGGAATCGAACCCGTGACCTTTTGGTTTGTAGGATGGCACTCAATCTGCTGAGCCATGACAGCAAGGGCTGTTTTCTAATCTCATTATGAACATGTGGATTTTAACTTGATGTATAATTGCAGTTACTGTTCTCACTGATGCTCAAATTTTCCCATCTTTTTAAAATTTTTTAAAAATTTTTTCGGTTAGAGTTGACATTCAATATTATGTTTCAAGTGTACAGCATAGTGGTTAGACATTAATATAACTTATGAAGTGAGTCAAATTGTCCCATCTTTGACCAATAGGAGCTTATTGAAGTTGGTCCTCACTCAGGGATATGTTCATTGATTTAGAGAGAAAGGAAAAGATGGGAGAGAGAGGGAAACATCACTGTGAGAGAGAAACATTGATTGGTTGCCTCTCATGTGAGGCAAGTGGTTATCAAACCCTTTTGGTGTATGGGATGATGCTGGACCAAACAAGCCACCCATCCAAGGCCTGATTTTTTTTTCACAAGACAGATTGCTAATGACTATAATAGGTTAAGTATTATTTTCAAGTTGAACTGTGGCCTGTTTACAGATCTGAAATAAAAGATATTTTAGGTTTTTCAAACTTATTTAGGAATCTCCGTGAAAAGGATTAACTAAAAGGATTAGTGGCCCTCAGGCCTAGTTGGGAACCCACTTCTCTGTCTGTACTTTCCTTTATATTAACTTATATACTATCATCATGCTGATGATTCCTGATTTATATACAGGTAACTCAGACCTCAGAGCTCTGACTTGCATAACCCATCACCTACTTACATTTCCACTTGGATGTCTCACAGACTCATTAACTTGTAACAGGTACGAGGCAGGACATTTGCTTCCCCAATAAATCATGTTCTCCCCATCCCTACGTGCCAGCTCTGCATCTTCTACACCCATTTATTTACTCAAGCTAGAAACCCAGGAGAATCTTCAATTCATTCGTTTTCCTCACTTTTCACTTCCAGCCCATTAGCTCATCCCGATGATTTTATCAGCAAAATACAGGGGTGGGCAAAAGTAGGTTTACAGTTACTTGTAAGTATGCAAAACACAGAGTTTATTCTTATATTATTATTTTTTATTTTAATCATTGTTCAAGTACAGTTTTCTCTCTTTTACTCCCATTCCAGCCCACCCACCCATCCCTCCCCACTTCCCTCCCATTACCACCCTCCCAATTCTTACATTATTATTTATTAATTGTTGTTTTATTTTCCATACAAACAACTGTAGACCTACTTTTGCCCATCCTGTATATTTTCGGTCTAGGTCAATTCCATCTCCTCTGCCATCGTAATAATCCAGAGATGTCTCCATTCCATCTAGGTCCTTCAAGACCTATTCCATGCTCATCTCAAATTTTTACACAGCTCCCCCCTAACCGTCTGTGCATCCTGGTCTTCTTTCAGTGTCTTAAACACATCAGGGTCATTTCCCTCCTGGATTTTGCATGGTTGTTTCCTCTTCCCAGAGGGCTGTTTCTCCCACTGTGGTTCTCAGTTTGAAAGTCACTTACTCCATGTCTTTGCAATCGCTCTATCTGAAGTAGATCTCTTATAATGCTTTGTTCCTGATTGTTTTCTTTTGTAGTACTTGGTACATCTTGCAGGTTTTTGTGTTTATTCGCCCTTTATCTGTCTCATCCACCCTAGGGTAGAAACCCACTCTGTCGCATTCATTGTTATAGCCATAAATAATAAAACACAGTATAACACTTTAATAGAAACTCAGGAAATATTTGCCATGGCCAGGTTGCTTAGTTGGTTGGCACGTCATCCCATACACCAGAAGTGTGTGGGTTCAGTCCCTGGTTGGGGCATGTGTAGGGAAGCAACCAACCAATGTTTTTCTCTCATGTCGATGTTTCTCCCCCCCAACTCCTCTCTCCCTAAATCAATGAACATATCCTCAGATGAGGATTTTTTTTAAATCTTTAAATAAAATAAATATTTGAATAACCTGTAGAATTACTGTGAAATTTCAAAACACTTGCAATTTAATGAAAAGCTTTACTTATGCAGTACCTTACTTATGTATTCCCCACATCATTCTAAAATGACTAGAAATATTTCATGAAATATAAATAATGCTAGCTAAAAAAAATAAATAAATGAAAAGTTAGTCTTCAAAACACATTTGTAAGATTCTCTTTCTTAGAGATAGTCAGCAAACGTGGCTTGGAACTTAATAACCACTAGAAATTGGGTCCCATGATCTAGTGTCCGTAAGATAAAAATATGTTACCGTAGGTTTTACCCTGACGTTATTGTTAGCAGCCTTTTACTTAGGGATCTTACCCTAATATCAGAGCAACAGAAGACGCAGAATACTCATAACGTGAGCACAGCTGGAAAGATGAGCACAGGAGTGGGCGGTAGCATCTTTTTAACACTCTGTGTGGATTCAGTTTTGAGAATTAATATCAGAATCCCAATAAAAAATTATCCAACATATTTTTTATGTTCACTTCGAGTTGGTGTTTGAGCAAGTAAATATGCATTATAATAAAAACACTTCCTTTTAAAACTCTTCCACAGGACTCTGACTTGAAGAAAACAGTGGATGAAAGTGCACGAATTCAAAGAGCGTACAACCACTATTTTGATTTGATCATCATAAACGACAATCTAGACAAAGCCTTTGAAAAGCTACAAACTGCCATAGAGAAACTGAGAATGGAGCCCCAGTGGGTCCCCATCAGCTGGGTCTACTGATGACTCGATAAGCTTCACAATTAAAATCCAACTTTTAGAAAGTGATCACCACAATTAAACCTTCAATGGAGAATATATGTGCGCAGATAGAAGACGCCTGCCACGTCTAGGCATTTTTGCTGTGTGGGTTGAAATACCAGTACACCGTTCTGAATTTTTATAGAAAATGGGATTGGGAAGGTGTACTAATATATAATTTATCTTAATTTTTCTAACTTTTTATGGACAATCTATTCATACCACATAAAGAAATGCGTTGAAGCATTTTGTATGTTTTGTTTTAGTACCCTTGCCTTTTTCATCAGGAATTTTCAACTCATTCATTGGAACATTAGTCTCACATTTTCACTGTGATGATAAATACTTGAAATAGTTTTGTAAAGTTGTCATTTGGTCCAATATTTAACGAATGAAAGGAGAAAATAGTCATTGGCCTTCTTTCCTAATACCGTTTCTTACAGAAGCAGAACTTCGGTGTCAGTGCTGCGGCGAGTCCGTGACCATCCGAGTCTGACATCGGAAGTCTGCTCGATGCTACACGGTTTTGTTACTTCAGAGATGTCTGGCTCTCTGTCCTGATTTATACAGACGTGTTGGCGTTTTCCCCCTTCATTTCTAACTTTAGCGAAAAAAGGAAGAGCAGTACCTTGCACTCTCATCTGTTGCAAAGACAGGCGGATACTGAGTTAACGTGCACGCAGCAAGCACGTCACGGCGGGGCAGGCTCGGCGAGTGCCTTCTGCAGAACCTTACAGTGGCGTGGCACGGTGCACTTCTTTCCACAGGCAAACACTTAACTGAGAAAAATGAACCCACTTCTTTAGGCAGTTTTTTAGTAGGATATGGTCAGCAACAGTATTATGCTTCTGCATATTTCTGTGATGCTTAAAAATGCCTCTGAGTTTGCAGTCTGAAGGGGTCGGTGAACAGTCAGTGTGCTTTTTGAAGGGCAACGTGATCAGTAAGGTATTTGTTAGATTCATTGTGCTGAGAACCCAGTCCACTGGATGATTTTTAAAATTTGGAAGTAACTGTCAGCTGTTTTATCTATATATAACATATACATTATATAATATGTACATTTGTATATATTATATAATATATATTAAATCATATTTTTTGGTACATTTCTATAAGGAAATGCACTTTTTTGTTAAATGATTAGGGAAACAGTTCTCTAGATGTGTTAATATGTACACATTTCCAAAATTCACCTTAGCTCATACCTTCCTTTAGGATTCTCGGATGGTATAATTTCTTGCTAAAATGTACTCAGATGCAGCTCATCTTTAAACTAAGTCAGCCACATTTTATATTGCTGCTAGAGCTTTTCACAGAAACAGTACTCACATGTAGAGGGCTTGGTGCTTAAACGTTGGTGGTTGTCTTTGTCAGGTGGCAGGCACCTGGCTGCTGAATTTGTTTCCCCTCACCAGAGCTGTCGCAGGGAATGCCAGCGAGGTGCTGGAGTGGGGAAGAAATGGCTGGCAGTGAGGAGCAAGCACCCTTTGTTTAAATCATTTCACAAGGAAACAAAACTCTCAAGCTGCTGTATTGTTAAGATTGAAAGTCCATAGGTATTTTTTCATTCCAGATTTCATATCCAGAACACAAATTCATGTTCTTTGTCCTAGGATAGGAAATTGGTGGCAAAATGGATCACACTATTTTAATAACTTTGGTACCTTTTAAACCTCATGTATTTACATCACAGTATTGGCTTCTCAGAGCAACATGAGTCAAAGCACAGTACTGAGGCGATGTCCTGTGACTTAGTGTTTCAACACACTGTAAATGTTCAGAGAAATTTCATTTCCACATTCTCTGGTGTGCCTTCATCTTTCAACAACTTTGGGATTCTTGGAGACAAACACTTTGGATTTGTGGACAAATAGTTTATCCACAAATTATTTCAACTGTCTTGGCAAATAGAGATAATTTTTACATCAAATGTATTTTTAGCTGTATCATGTGGTATAAAATGCATATTATTTAGAAAACAGTCATATATAAAGGAGTTATTTCTATTATAAATGGTACTCATCATTAACTATTTAGTTAATACATACTAGATCCCTCCTAATATGAAATAAAATGATGTCGTTAAGTTCATTTCAGACTAGGTGCCAGAACTGAAGAAAATACAATTAGAAAGTAACTTCATTGTATCTCAATAAGTAGTCATTGAACCTGAAACTCGAGTCCCATCTGAGTCTCCAGGAACAAGCAGAGCTCTGCTGGTCAGGGAGTCCCAGCGGCCCCAGGGTTCTCCCACAGCAGTGAGAGCACTGCTGTGATCCAGGACTTTTGTCGTGGGAGAGGGCTAAGGTAATTAGCTGTACCGACGAGAGCATGGTTTAAAGTAATGTTTAATAATTGGTAATAGTTACAGTACACACACATGTGCTCTTGCTTTGGGGAAACATGATGTGCCATTCCTTTTGGGCAGGTGAGTATCTGCATTCGGATTCAGGGCATGACTATTTATGTACAACTAAAAATATATATATATTTTTTTTTCCAAATGTACAGATACCCAGAGGTGATATCTCTGGGTAAGTAATTTAACCTTAACTAGTGGAATACTAGGTCTGTCCAGAAAAAGTCCAGCCATTGTTAACCTAATGAGAGCAGTTTGTGCAACATCAATGTGACCTGGCAGCTAAGGAGAGTGGACTGGAATGTGCATGAGGAGCAATGTCAGCTTCACTGTAACAGTCAGTGGGGGCGGTAGACACTGTTGAGTGAGCATGTGTACTGTGTGGCCACCACATTCAAAATGAGCAAGTACAATGATGAACCTGCATCAAATTTTGCATTAAACTTGAACATTCCTCCACAGAAACTATTCGAATGATTCAGAAGCCCACAGCTATGGGCAGCTGTGATTGGCAGCTTCATCACAACAACACAGCCACTCACACATCACATTTCATGAAGAGGTTTTTGGTGAAACATCAGATCACCCAAGTGACTCAGACCCCTATAGCCCAGATGTGGCACCCTGCAACTACTGGCTTTTCCCAAAACTAAAATCACCTTTGAAAGGGAAGAGATTTCAGACCATCGATGAGAGTCAGGAAAATATGACAGGGCAGCTGATGGCGATTGGGAGAACTGTGTGAGGTCCCAAGGTGCCTGCTTTGAAGGGGACTGAGGCATCATTGTCCTATGTACAATGTTTCTTTCATCTTGTATCTTCTTCAATAAATGTCTCTATTTTTCATATTCCATGGTGGATACCTTCTGGACAGACCTTGTATATGTGGAGTGCTGTAAGTAGAATTTCACCTTCATTATAGCCATGCCTGATTTTGCTGTCTCAGTTTCTATTTGATGCTTGGGTAATAATATCAGATATCCAATACTTCAAGACTTGATTTAGTTTTGCCAACTTTAACTATACAATCGCTGAACATAGCTTACTGAAAAATCATTATCATAAACCCAAAGTGACTACACCTATAGTAACCTGAACCCCAGATTCGAAGCTATTAAAACTTATTTGTAATTGTTTATAAGGACAAGTTTTCCTTAAAAAAGAAAATTGATTATTAGTACAAATTGAGGAAATGCAAACTAGCAAAAAATACAATAATATGGCATTATAGATTATGGCCAGTTATAGATACTTTAACCATAATATCCCAGTAACAAAAGGTGATCTTTAAAAATTTATTAATTTGGTATTTATTTTTTATGTATAATAAGTGTCATGATCATGATTGGGGTTGATTTTCAAGATGGATAGCCATGGAGTTAGGTGCAATTATTTTGAATTGCTTAAGTTTGAAAATTGGTCAAAATAATGATCTGCTTACATTATGCTTTTACAACTTCTGAAACAACACTTCAAATTCCAGAAATCACAGGCTAGAGAGCCAGTAATTTTGTAGTAATGAGCCTTTATACTAAATATGGAAAAAGCAATCCCAAAATTTTATGTATATAGACAACAGGTCATTTTTTAAATGTTTGAGTCACCGTATGTATAATATATATATATATATAAGCTATGTGTATAATATGTAAAATTCTTCCAAAATACATGAATAATAAAACTAAATATATTCACCCATATAATTATAACTAGTGTTCTTAAATTTTATTTTACTTTCTAAATGTCTTTTAATTCAACTTTTTAAATTTTTAATTGCTCCCCAATTCTTGTACATTCTGGAACTTTTTTCACATTGTTTAAAAGGGCTTTAGTTTTTACCTTGAGTCAGATAATAATCTCCTTTTTGATAAATAAATGACATATTAAGCCCATAAAATTATCATTATAACTTAATTTCCTTAAGGAAAAAAGGAGAGTCCTGGGTGAAAACCTCTTGGGAAATGCTTATTTAAGCCTTCCAATGAATTCGTGATACGGTTCAAGCTTCGAGATTGTGGTGCCTGCTCTCCTCTTGTTTCAAAGGATGTGATGTGGGAATCCACGTAATAACATCTGTGATGTACTTTGAGTTCTCGGGACAAATTCAGTATTTTAAATGATATTATTTTATAGAGTACAAGTGAATATTATTTACAGACTTAAGAATACCATTGACTAGTAATTCAACATCATATCAGTTTTTATGTAAATATATATTGTATTCCTGAGGAAGATAACAATTCTATAGTTTTTTAAGGTAAGATTATTTTTAAATGCGTTTTTGTTAGCTTCAAGTTTTATTCATTTAAAAAAATATTTCCCATAATTTGTCATGTTACTTTCTGTGTTCCTGGAATGATTTAGTGCACAGAATCAAAAATGAGTCCTTAGTCCACCAAAAAGTAAAGGAAGTGATGATATCGAATTTCTGAGGTAAGAATTTAAAAGCATAGTTTGCACTTCTGCAATGCACTGCACTACTTTCTTTAAAATAGTCTCTCTTTTGGTAAAAATAGAGATGATATCCTCTGGCTGAGATAAAATTCTGACCATGTGACCTTTGGTAAAACTTGTATATCTCTTTACTTTTAATATTCCATTTGTTAAACAAGGCTACCTTAACATTTGTCTTCAGCTTAAAGTACGAGAAGTAATTTGGAACTCTGATGTGGTACATGCTAAACTACAAAGTCTTTATTACGCTACTTTATCTGTTTATTGTATGTATGTGCTTACATTGAGGTTATTTTTAGTTCGTTTAAAGTGTACGTCTTTCGGAGGTAACAGTAAATGGTGCACACCATTCAGGACTCTTATCTCCATGTTGGGCCCTGAGGACGTAGTTCCAGCCTGGAAGATGGTCGGTTTCGCTCTCTTAGTGGCTCTGGGCAGATGGTCTGTTTCGGTTTGAATCCCATTCCAGGTCCAACCAGACCGCACACAGGTCAAACTAAGTAAGCAATCCAGTGCTCTATTACATCAGCAGACACCCTGATCTTTGCCCCGTAAAGCAGCCCTACCCTGTTATTAGAGCCTGAGATTGATCACCGCAGCCCATACTGTCTGATAGTATTGTATAAAGTTTAAAAGGTGTCTGTTTCTGGTGGACCTCTAATCGGAATGCTTTTTACATTCTCTTTCTGATTGACCCATGGCTGCTGGCTGGCTGAGAAGGCGGTGCTGTGATGGTCAGTCTAACCTGCCTCCACGCACCAGAGTCAGTTGGAAACAACACCCTGCTCTCTTGCTCTTTTTTCTTTTTAACTGCTAGCTTTTACTGTTTTCTAATCTCCAGCACAAACTGAATGACCACATCTACAGCTAACGTAAATGCTGCGTATAACTTGAGAGATGGAATCACTGAATGCTTGTAAACCTGTCTTGAGTCCCACCAAATAGGCTACATAGAGCAGAAGCCCAAAGGTCTTATTTTAAAAGTTGGGAATTGAGGTCTTTATTGTACTTCCGAAACAGCAAGCCATTGGTGGAAACATAAATCTGACAGGCCATACCTGAAATTTTGCTTTCCTCATACCAGTCAAGGTGACCTGGAGCTTGGAGGAAGAGGAAAAATGCATAGCATTAAAAACTCCTCAGCTGGAAGTTCCCAGCATTAAACCCGAAGTCATGTAAAACATGTGGTTTTCCTCTTTAAATAGGAGAGACGGGCAGCAGCATAAGTCACGTTGCTCAGAACACAGAAAGGTTGCTCTGGCGAATGCGGTCCAAGTGAGGAATGCCATGTCTTTTCAGATGGAGCCAGACTGGGGGACTGGTTCGTTTCCATCTGTGGTGGAAATGCAAGATGAGTGTTTCCTTTGGCTGTATGCTGTCTCACAAAGGGCTCCTGTCTCTTCAGTAGCATTGGCTGTCAAGGAAGTGGTATCTTGGATTTTGCTGTGGATGAGTGAGCACTAGGGTTTGGCAACTATTGTCATTTTCTGCATAATATGTTAAGCTCTGTTAGAGGCCGTGATGAGTATCTGTTGTAAAATCCTTGCTTCGAGGGATTTTTTTCCCCTCCATTTCATTTTGGTACATCTTCTTTTTGAGCACAAATGCATGCTCCTTTTAACCTCTATGAAATGATGGTAGAATTTTTTAATGGAGGACAAAATCTTGTTAGCAACCTAAAAATCAAAGCTGAACAAGCTGCTGAAGTAAGTTTCTGATGAAAAATATTTAAAAATAAAAATTGCTACTGCTTTCCAAGTAATTGTATTGCTAATTCCTGTGTAAAAGAAACTATCCTTGTATAAATAAAGTTTTCCTGTAGTACAGTTAAGTATTGATTTTTTGGAAACTGTCCCTATAAATTTTTTTCACATTTTCATGTGCTGTCCAAAACAAAAATTATTGAAATGATCTATCTGTGAAATTGCAAACACCTGGTAAAATATTTTTGTATGTAAAAAGAAATAAATATTTAATATTGGAAAAATGTAGTGTTTTATTTATAAGTAGAAGTGAGGCTTACAAATAATAAAATAAAGAGAATATGAGATTAGCTTTGGAACTTTTTTTTAAATGCTAATCATTTTTATAAAAACCCTCTAATGTCATTTAGTTTTTCCCACCAAGATAAATGTATAAGTTTTCCACCTGCCTCTCCTGTTTAACAAGGAAACCCTAACTGTTGTTTCCTCTACACCAGCCCAAGCTTTCAAAGACAGCATAGCTCGAGGAAAGGCAAACACAGAGAAGATTAAAATACAGGATCAAGAAAAGGCCTCTATGTGTAGGTGGCATGGGATGGTACCAGGACCACTTCCCAGCCACCCAAGAGGGAGACACCCTGGTGGGAAAGACACGTCTGCTGCGGCACACAGCTCAGCCTGAGGCCCCGGGAGGTGGGCTCCCCTGGCCGGCCAGGACACGGGGGTGCGGCTGGGTGAGTGCCGGAAGCCTGTTTCCAGGAAAGGCGCTCCAATCCTCTTTCCCAGGCTGGTTTCTGGGGCTCCATGCCTCACACTTAGGAAGTGGCTGCATGAGCGTCTTTCCGATGTCTCCAAAACAATCAGGATTCATATACAGCAGTTCCTTAAATAATGTCAATTTTGCTCAGTGTCATTTCATGCTAACGTTGATGAGAGGAAAATATTACTGGCCGAGGCCACTGTGTGTGTGGAGTTTGCATGTTCTTTCCATGTCTGCGGGGGTTTTCTCTGGGAACTCTGGTTTCCTTCCACATCCCAGAGACGGGCATGTTGGGTTAATCGGCGTGTCTTACTTGCGCCAGTCGGGGCGTGTAGGTGTGGGTGTGAGCGGCCCTGCGAAGGAAGGGTGTCCTGTCCGGTGTGGGTCTCCCCTTGTGCCCTGCGGTGCTGGAAAGACTTCAGCCACCTGCAACCCTGAACTGGCGTCATCAGGTGGGAAGATTGCTCTCTTACTTGTTTTTACATCGTAAATGCTTGTTATAGCTCATCTGTTTCGTTGTTTAATATTAGTATCTTGGGTCTTTATTTAGAAGTTTGGTGTTGATTTTGTGACTGGAAATATGCCGTAAGAACTTCACTCATGGTTCTCGACTCATGTTTATATTAATTAGCTTATGGTTAAAAATGATTTTGTTCCATGTTTCGCTTAAAGCTGCAGTTTCCAAGAATCCCAATGACATTAAATGAGGCCTTAAGCAGTTCATTCTTCTGTCTTACACTACCTGTCAATTTGCCGTCACCCCAGTAACAAACTCGCACTATTTAGCAGCTTAACACACGGGCTGACCTGAGCTCTGGGGGTCTGAAAGCCAGTGCAGGTGCCAGCTGTCCCCAGTCGAGATGCCTCCGGCCACCCAGGCTCCTCTCTGGAGTCTGGAAGGGGGAATCGTGTCGGGCTCTTGCAGGTTGCTGGCCCACCTCAGGTTCACGCAGCTGTCGAACTGATGTCCCCGCTTCCTTACGTGCTGTTGGATGGACTGTCCTCTCATCCTGAACCGGTCCCCTGGGTTCAGAGCCGGCAGCAGCACCGAGTCCTTGTCACACCTCATCTTTTCTGCATTTTCTCAGCCAGGTCTCTCACTGCTGCTTCTCCCTTTTTTAAGAGCTCACCCAGATAATGCAGGATACTCTGTCCGTCCCAAGGTCCCTAATGTTAAAAACTGTAAAGTTCTTTTCATCATGTAAGGTAACATGTCCACAGGTCCCAGGGCTTGTTAGGGTCGTGGGTGCCTGTAAGAGGCCATTGCCAGGCCGCACCTCACCAGCTAGTCAGTGCTGCTGCCTGTGTCCGTTTATGGAGGAGAAGGGGTTGTGGAGATGGCAGCGTTAAGGGGGTGTCCTGTCCTGTCACGGGAAATACCGCTCTACTTAGCCTATTAGGACTTGTTTCCAAATCTAATGATTAAAATAAGTGTGGTTCTTGATCTCAAGCAGTAAGTAAAGTCAACTTCAAATTAGTAATTGTATTTAAGGACACGGATACCCGTGAGAAGACACTCCTGGAGGCCCAGTGTCACCTGCACTCGCTGGGCCCGCACTGCCAGGCCCACCACGCCCCAGTGGAGGTCTGCTGAGAGGCCGGCAGGGACCGGGGGCTGGGAACTCCCATCCCAGCCTCAGGCTGCGTCCAGCTGGGTAACTGGCCAGTGTTGGGGCAACTGTGGGAACAGCTACAATGCGTCAGTTGCTGCTTTGATGTGACCCAAGCTTTTGACACTTGCTGGGATGGTATCTTTTCTTTGTGTCTGAGGTGTGTCTCTGTGTGTGTTGGTTTAGTTTTTTATTATTTAGAAGATAACACATACAAAATTACAACAGGAATAGAAGCGTGAACCACCCCTTTCCCCTACCTTTTGCCCTAACCTCTAAATCCTCTCCCCAGAGGAGCTGCTGCTGGGTCTCCAATGGACTCGTCAGTGAGATCTCCAGGCATGGCGGTCTGTGTGCGCCTAGCTTGTCCACAAGCAGACTCACATTGCACCGTCTGCCTACAGTCTGTTCTGTATATGTGTTTTATTTCAGAAAACCAGACAAAAAGGCACGAGCTGTGCCAGCGTTCTCACACTATTTTCTCTTTTGGGTGTTGCCTTCCAGTTTGTGCGTAAGGCACTTCTTTTCTGTGTTGTCGCCACCACAGTGCACAGCTCAGCTGCCTTTTTCCTCACATGTCAGAAGTATCTGCGTGAGGGTAGTCTCATTTTTAACTGGTGACGGGAGGGTTACTTCATTTCTTACTAAAAATCTGAAAGGCGGGGAGGGGAGGAGTAGAGGATGGGGAGGTAAAAAAATGTGCTGAACAATGCACTTCTCTCCAGCAACGCCACCCCTCGCCCCCACTGCCTCCTAAGTGAGACAGATCCTCACGGCAAAGCTCAGCCACGTTTTGCTAAGGGAAAGCAAGAGGGTTTCAGGTCTCCAGGCTAGTCATAGTAGAATGATGTGAAAACAAGAAGAAGCAAACTGTATACCATTCAGAGTTTCCTTTGATGTAATATGTATTTTACAGATTAAACACCCAGCATGCATGGAAAATCAGCACATGGTTCTTGACCTGGAATAGGTCATGTTCATCAAAGCATGGAAAAGTCAGATAAAATGCTTCGTGCCGGACCCCTAAGGAAGGGTGGCCTGCTTGCAGACTTTTCCAGTATAATTTTATTTAGCAGAATATATGTACTCCAGTGGCATTCACAGTTCATTTTGAGTCACTTCAGAGTATACAGCACATCCAGAACGTAGCCTTCTATGAAGAGAAATTGCCTCCCCACGGCATTCACAACTTAAAATGAATTTTTGGATCAAAGTGTCAGACCCATCTGTTTTTGCTATAACAGGAAGAAAGTGGGAAATGTAAGTGATAGATGGACCCATCTTTCTGCAGAGAAGAGGGTCTGAGTGCATGCTGGTGTAGGATTGCGAGCCCTCTCCCAGCTCTCCGGGTGCTGGAGTGGAACGTGCTCTCTGGGTCACCAGCACCGGAAGCCCTCTTACGAAAAATGTTTACAGAGCATCTGGTGGCTGAGCTCGTGGTGACTCGTAATGCACAGGCACCACTTCTTAAACTCTTCTGTACATTCATTTCCTTGATCAACACTTAGCATGGCTCAGACCTCAGCCCCAAAGTAGTAGTAGCTCAGCGATGCTGAAAAGTACCCTTGGCCGATGACATGTACTCGTGATTCACGTGTGACGTTACTGATGTGCTCTGCCCAAAGCATGGAGCCCACTCAGGCTTACATAAAGAACGAGTGGGGAAATGTTAGGGACTCGGCAGGTGATGGCTTTTACAGAGGACTGTCGTCTCTCCAGGGCGACGTCGGCCGTGGCGAGCAGGCGCTGCGCGATCTGGAACCGTTCCGCGTCTCTCAGAGGGGCCAGGGCCGTGTCGTCAAGATCAGGGTCTCCCCCGGTAGACAGTGCGCGGAGCTGAAATGGCACGTTTTAAACTTTCACTCAGATCTGTGTTACAGAAAATCTGCATCGTTGGCTAGTAACACACTTCTAGCTAATTATGAAAAAAAATGAAAAAAAAATTTTTTTAAATTTCCCAGATGCAGCAGGAAAACTTTAAGATGTAACGAGATATATTTGTCTCAGACCAGGGCCTCAGGCCTGATTTTTCCAGTCTGCCTGGAGCCCTGTCTACAACCCTCCTCTCCGAACCACCTGCTGCTCGAGGCACTGACGCCAGCAGATTAGAAAGGTCAGAACTTAACTTGCCCATACACACAGTGCGTAAGGCTTGTTTGCTTTTTTTAAATGAAGAAACCCCTCAAAGGGAAATAAACTGCCATAGTTTATTGCACGCTTCCTGCCTCAAGAACCTCTGCCCTGGTCCCTCCTTCTACCTGGTGCTCTTCCCCCAGAGCTCTGCGTAGACGCCTCCTGCCCGTGTCTCAGCTGCCGGCTGAACCCCCACATCAGAAGGGCCTCGCCTCACCCCACCTATCCACTCCCACCCCATACCCCAGCCACTACCGCATTATTGTATTGCCTTCACATGCTTGCTTTATCTGGATCAGCTTCTTGACAGTCACTGTGCAGTCTGTTCACTGAGACCCAAGCCGCCCCGGACGGCGGGGACCTGGCCCGTCGTGCTCACCATTTGCCCTGCCTAGACCTAGACCCTCGCTGCCGCGAATGAACGAATGAATGTTAGTCCTTCCGCGAGGCTGCCGCCAGAGCTGCAACCGCCGAGAACATTTGAAACTTGGCTCTTTGGGGTCTTGATTGGTGCCTGTGACACTTTATTGTTTAATCTTCAGTAATTACAAACTTGCCAGTGCATTTGACTTTTAAACAGGTATTCAGAACCAGGTCGGATTATGAATGTAGAGAGTCAGCTTTAAAATTAAAAATGAGGCCTGTACAGTAGGCAGGGTTTTTAACTGGATCCGAAGGGGCCCGGGAAGATTCCCGGGAGTGTTCTGAGCGCAGCGGGGACCTCCCCGGGGGCAACAAACAGCCTGCCCCTCGGTGAAGGGAGGGCAGCGCTCATTTGCATACCGAAGTCCTTGGGGGGCTAGCATCAAAATCAGCCTGACAAGTCTACACCTTGTAGCTTCACCACATGCAACTCACAGTGTCACCACTGGCTTAGCGTTACCGCTTGGCCCAGACAACTATCGATTACGCTTGAGAGCGGGGATAGGTCTGCTCTGTGAGCACCACGTCCTGCAGTTGAAGAATGAGCTTCACTGGCGCGGGCCGAAGGCAGCCGGCGGCTCAGCGGGCTCTGCTCTGCGGGGGAGGTGCTGAGCCGCACCCAGCCTCCTGCTCTGAACATCGGCCAACCCCATGTGCCCAGAGGCACTTCCCGGTGTCAAAAAGATTCCAGTCCCCCAGAGGGTGGAGGGGTGAGATGAACATTCTCTGCTGACTCTAACTCTCCTTTCACCAGTTTGGCGAATGTGTTCGCGTGTCCGACACTGCTCTCCTGGAAGGCCTTTGAAAGCCTCTCAAGGTTACCGTGGCCACCAGACAAGATGAGACAGAAGTGGCGGTGAATTGCTACACCCTGTCCTAAGCAAATCCCTGTAAGGAGCACATGATGCCCGAATTCCTTCAGGAGGCAGGAACCTGACCGTCTTGAGGGTTGTTGCAGTATCTAGGGGAGATTATGTAAAGATGCTCAGGAAGGTCTTTAAAGAAAAATTCTTTCTTTGTCTGTGTTGAGCAGCCCAGGAAGGCAAACAAAGGACTCTGTGGGTGGGAGGTTTTGTGCCAAAGCAGAATACCAGGCATTCGGGAACTCAGCGTGTGTCTGTCCTAAGGGCTACTTTTAAAACACCAGTGAACAGACTTGGAAGCAACACAAAGATTAAATCCTTGAGCTGACGTGCAAGGAAGATGACAACCAAGTGTGCGTTTACCAGGAGAGGGCATTAAGTTGTGTGGCCTTGGCGGTGTTTTCTTTCTGTGTATACTTCCCGAATCTAGTCGGCGACTCTGTAAATACTCGGTAAGGACCAGTCTGGGAAATGCTAAGCACCAGTTGTGGTGAAACAGAGCTGGGTTACAAAAGCAGAGCTACTGTGATGTATGGAAACATATTGTTTCCATAACCAAACTACACTAGCAGCTTTTTCCCCCAGCTGGCCACAGTACCCACGTGCTGCCGGCATGTTTTCAAATCGTTCATTTTTGTGGTCAATGCATAAGAATCCACATTCCCCTGGGCGGGCAGAATCTGCTTTGGGTTATGAATGACGTCTACACCGCTGCTTGGAATGAGGCCTCGCTGCAGTCCTCAGATGCCTTTCCTGGGCAAAGAAGTACCAAAGGCACAGACCACAGTGCTCAGTCTACCAGGGGCATGCATAACATTTCAGGGCCTGGGCTGGGCAGTCTACCCCAATATCTGCTTCCCAGATCTGCATGCAAAGGTGGGGGGAGCTTTGGTCCTGCAGAGCATGCTGGCCTTGGCCCTTAGTAACCACACCGTAAAATAATCCAGGCCTGCAGGCTGTGTCCCTCTGTCCGCCCCGGACCCAGCAGCACGTGCAGGGGCTACGTTAGAGGAGCCACCCCGTTCGAGTGGGTTCCAGGCAGCCCCACTGATGGCTCCTTCTACTAGTGACCTGATTTGTCATCTAAAAAGGAAAGGCTTAATCTTGAGTCTCGGGGCTGAGCTCATCGTTACCCAGCTCTTGCTCTAGCCCGGACACTTCCTGGGGGCACACAGCTAATGACAGTCCTGGGAGAGAATGAAGGGTGTCCCTGAGACCCAGCAGCCCCTCTCGAGAACCTGCCAGGTGCACCTGGTACAGACAGAAATGAAGCGGGCCCAGCTCCCTCCCTGCAGCGCCGCTCCAGGGCGCAGCCAAAATTCTCTTCACAAAATGAGAAAAGTACAAGGTTCAAGTCCAAAGACAAGGTTCAAGTCCTAGCCCTGCTGGCAAGCTTTTCAAACAAACCCTTTCCCTCTGGGCCTCAGTCTTCATGTGAGGTGAGCGGTGTGTGTAGGTGGGTGTAGAAGAGTAGAGTTGGTAATACCTGTCTGACTTCCACTGGAGGGCTGTTGTGAAAGGGAAAGCCTAGAAGTGTTTTACCAGCTGTTAGGTGTCCATCTCCTCCCCATTTCCCCAGTCCTGCCCATCCCCAGGTCCCTTCTGGAAGGTTCCTTACCAAGTGGCACAGCGTAGGAATAATCTGGAGTTTGCAGCAGGTGCCCAGCAGGGCTGCTGCATTATCTGGCATTTCTGCAGAAGACAAAAATCAGTCACTGTCAGAAACAAACAAGTATCTGTGGGAACAGAGCCAGCCCCTGGACGGTACCCAATTTATACTTTTTGGGCTCTCCAGGGCTTATGCTCAGTAATTAATGAATGAATGAGTGGTGCTAAACAGGCAGCACGGGCATTTCAGGAAATGGCTGGTTACCTGGTTCCTACATCTGTATGTCCACGGGAGGATATTTCTTGACATTTAATTTGCCAGTGAGGAAGAACTGTACAGACTCAAGTAGAAAGAACTGGGAATTCGATAAAAAGAGGTGTGTGTAGGCCCCACTACATATTTGGGTTGTGACCTTGGATACACCTCTCTGAACATATTTCCTCAATTGACCATAGATTTTTTTTTCATGTCAGAGAGCTGAGTAAACTGTTCGTGACCTGGGTTTGGAACCCTTTAGTCATTCTAGGAGAAGAATGCAATGGGCCTGATAAAGGGGTGGCACAACACACCTCATACATCCGGGACTGTGTGGGGCCCCGCCCACCGCTAGCTTCACAAAGGGCACCAGTGGCAGGGATCCGGCACAGAGCTGTGTGACTCTGGCCCCCGCACCAGAGGTCCAGACCCTGTCAAGCCCCGGGGAAAGAAAATCCAGGTCATTGTTATTGCAAATGGATTTTAAATACCTCCTTCCCAGGGCAAAACAGATGCCAGAAGGACCCTCTCCCTAGAGATACAACCTTTGAACTCAAAAAGCAAATGAGAAAGAATCACAGGCCGAGGCACCTGGCCCAGGGACCACTGTGAACTCCATCTCCTGCATTCATTAGCAGCCTTATTTATAAACTGTGGCAAGTCACCGAGGCTGTGACCCGGTGGCTGTGACCCGGCGGAGTCCCATGTCCTGTTCCCAGCAGAAGGCGGCTGCTGCAAGGACGGTACAGCTCTGAGGGATGGTCCTGCTAGGGAACCCCCTAAAATTACATTTAAATGTTGTCTGTGCATCTGCCTACAGAAAGGATCCCCAGCTTTCAAGAAATTCTCAAGGAGGCCTTTATCCCAAGGCAGAAAGAAGAAGACAGTGAGCGAAGGTGGCCCAGGAAAAAGATCACGGGGCTGGGAAGGGTGGGGGCAAAGGCACCTGGGATGTGAGAAAGTCCTGGGTGGGCCCCTGTCACAATGACTTGGTCATGCTTCCATTTCTTAACTTTTCAGGAGGCTCCGGAGCCCTAGGTAATCGTCATCATCCCTTATTGGAAATACGTCAGTTCTGTGTTCCTCAGGTGGTCTTTCGCTATTCTCAGTACGGTACAAGGGACACAGGGATGCAAGGATATCATCTGCTTTACAGTTTACCAACTGATTTTATTATTTGACTCAAATTGCCTTGAGGGCAAGGATGATTTTTACCTCATCACCACCTAGCAGTGCCTAAACATAGTACAGGCTTGTTCAATGTTTTTTAAGTGCAGGTGATTTATTTTGATGGCTCTTCCATAGTCTGACTCTGTTTTACAAATGAGGCCTGGGGCATTCATGCTGAAAGTCCCCAGGTGGCGGAAGAAGTGGTCGTGGAGGCAGGCCAGATGCCGGGGTTGATGAGAGGGAAACAAGTTGAACACAGGAGGCCAGTTCAACATGGGGACATAAGGAGATCCTGCACTCGCCTCCTCATGGATGCACCGGACCGGCAGCTACAGTGGCACAGTTTCCTCTGAGAAAAACCCAAAAGCTACCTGAGTGACTCCTGCACACCAGGTGAACAAGAAAAAGCCCACGTGGAAGCAGGTGAGAGAGGCTGAGACACACTCACTGTGAACTCCGCCCTAACTTCGGCAGCTCACAGTCGAAAGGGAACACACGACCCAGAGCCCCTCCTGAGGAGCAAAGCGTTTAAACCAACTACGTTGGGCTCCCCCCTATGCCAGGGAGATGAGCCCCCCAGACATCCAGCTTTGATCAGTTAGGCAGGAAAAAGAACTAAAAGGCATCCAAATTGGAAAGGAAGAAATAAAGCAAATTAAAATGTTAGTATATAGAGAAAGTCCTAGAAACTCCACCCAAAAACTGTTAGAATTAATAAATTTAGTGAAGTCGAAGGATGCAAAATTTGTACAAAAATATGTCATGTTTCTATACACTAATAAATTATCAGAATTCAGAAAACAATACCATTTGTAATCATATCAAGAAAACTTGGAGTAAATGTATCCAAGAAGAGGAAACATCTGTACACCGAAAACTATAAGACGTTAAATGAAGAAACTGTAAAAGACAAAAGAATGGAAAGATATTCCATGCTTATGGAATGGAAGAATTAATATTGTTAAAATGTCCCTATGACCAAACACATTCTACAGATTCACTACAATCCTGAGAATAAAGAACAAAGCTGGAGGTGACACACTCCCTGATTCCAAACTATGTTACAAAACTACAGCAATCAAAAATACGGTGTTGGCCTAGAGACAGACGCATGGACCAGAATAGAACACCCATAGGTCAACCCACACAGACATGGTCAATCAATTTATGACCCAGGAGCCAAGACTATAAGATGGGGAAGAACAGTCTCTTCAGTCATTGGTGCTGGGAAAACTGGACCACTACCTTACACACAATTAACTGAAAATAGACAAAAAGTTTGAACCTAAGACCTGAAACCATAAAACTCCCAAAAGAAAACATAGGCAGGAAGCTCCTTGACATCACTCATGGCGATTTTTTTGGATTTGATACCAAAAGCAAAGACAACAAAAGGAAAAATAAACAAGTGGGACCACATCAAACTGAAAGACCTGTGCACAGCAAGGGAAGCCAATGGACCGGGAAAAAGCAACCCACCCAATGGGAAAAAGTATTTGTAAAACATACACCTGATAATGCGTTAATATCCAAACTGTAGGAAGAACTCATACAATTCAATGGCAAAAAAAGATGATTATAGGAGAGGCAGAGAACATAGCAGCATGGTGATTCCCAGAGGGAAGGGGGTGGGGGGGGGGTAGGAGAGGGCACAGGGGGGTAAACGGTGACAGGGGAGACCTGACAAGTAGTGGCGAACACACAGAACAGTGTGCGGATGCTATGTTACAAAATTGTACACCTGAAACCTATATAATTTTACTAACCGATGTCACCGCAATAAATTCCATTTAAAAAAAATTAAAACAGGTAAAATTCTATAAAACATAAAAAAATAGGCAGAGGATATGAATAGACATGTTTCTAAAGACATATAGGTGGCCAAGCAGTACATAGAAAGGCACGCCACACGAATCATCACCAGAAGTTCAAACCCGCGACAAGACATCACCACACGCCCGTTAGGATGGGTCCATTATCACAAAGACGAGGCAAATGCTGGCACGGATGTGGGGGACAGCAAGCCCTCGTGTGCTGCTGGTGGGAATGTAGACTGGTGCACCCTCTTTGGAAAACAGTAGGGAGATTCCTCAAAAAATTAAAAATATAGTTACCGTATGATCCAGCAACCCCACTCCCGGGTGTATATCCGAAGAGAATGAAAACACCAGCTCAGAAAGAGACCCGCACCCCCACGCTCACTGCAGCTGATACCACTCACCATGGCTGAGGCACGGGAGTAACCTAAGTGTCTTTCATCAGGTGAATGGATGAAGGAATGTGGTATACATATGCATTGGAGTATTATTAAACAGTAAAAAGGAAGAAAATCTTGTCATTTTTGGCAACCTTGGCAAATGGTTGGACCTTGACCTTGAGAGCATGACACTAAGTGAAATGCGTCAGGGAGAGACAGGCTCAGGCTCAGTCGTCACTGGCGGGCCTGGCTGCACCGGAGAAGGTGTGCAGCTGCTGAGCCCACAGCCTGCCGCTTCGGGGGGCTCTCCGCAGCCTGCCCGTGCTCGCGGCCATGACTCGGGGGTGGTGAGCTCACAAGGAGGACGAGGAGGAACCAGACAGCCCCTGCCGCTCAGCACTGCCAGGGCTCAAGAGTGAGTGCCAGGCTGGGGAGCTGCCTTCCCGCGTCAGGGAGGGGTGAGCCCACAGACAGCCCCCTGGGGCGGGGGTGGGGGGTGGGGGGTGGGTAGGTGGAAGAGAAGCACTCCTCGAGGGAGTGGCCATGGGCGGGCCTCCTTCACACTCAGCCCTGGGACTTCACCACAACCACGCAAACTTCCTCAGCCCTCCATGCCTGTCCTCCGCATACCGCTGAAGGTGGGGAGGAACCCTAGGTACCTGTCTTCCACAGCTGTAAGCAAAGCAATTTTATAGCAACAGCAGGAATAAAGTTTCTTTTTTCCATACCTGCTAGCGCACTGACCAAGAAGTAGGCCGTGGAAAAGAGCTTCTGGTTGCGGACCACACCCTGCGGGCCTGGACACTCGCCCTGTACGCTGCACCCCACCAGCTGCAGGAAGGCCGTGAGGTTCTGCCGCTGTGGGGGCTTCAGCTCCCCAAGTACCGCCAGTGGGAGTGGCAGGCCGCCGACCACGTCGTCACACTGCAGGGGAGGAGGACAGAGACGGTGCGATGAAGCTGGAGGCCAGGCTGGGTCCTCCGACCCTCACGCTGGGCCCCTTGCCCTTTGCCATCTCCCCAATAAAGCAATAATGTGTGCATTGCTTTAACCCTGCACTCCTCTGTGTTTGAAATGACTGATCCACCAGGTCGGGTTTCCTCCCAGAGACAGTGAACTGAGCCTTGCCCAAGGGCTGTTCTTCCGCAGCAAGGGGAGGAGGCATGCAGGCACCACTGGGTAGAATCTTCCAGGACAGCATCTGCCGGGTTGGAGCAGGGGGCGGGGACACGTGACACACAGCTGCTGAGTGGCAGGTCGTGGTCCTCGAGCTTTAAACTTGGCACTCCAGCCCCCAGCCACCTTCCCAACCGGGCCCCGGACAGTCTCATCTGTCCACGTGGGACCTGCCGGGAGGGTGTGGTCCTGCCAGCAAGGGCTCCCCTGGCCACCCCGGCACCACCCGGCCAGTCCTGCTCCACGGTTGCACCCACGTCTAGATGCGTGTGCACGGGAGCCCACCATCCCCCACCCCACCCAGGCAACTGGTGCTCTTTCCGCAGGGCATCCGCCTGACATTTCCCTCCTGGAAGGAGACATTTGAGGAAGTAAAAGTCAATGTTGTTGTGGGTTTTTTTTAAATATCTGCATTCTCCCCGGGGCTGGCACACCCTCCCGGGAGTGCTGCGTCCTTCAGAACATGTGGGCGTCCGGGCGGCTGGACTGTTTCAACAGCTGCTGGCTCCATCACTGGGCCCTGGGCTCTTTCGGCACAATCCAGTTTCAAGGGGGAAAAACAATGTGAATGCTCCCCTGGAAGCCGTAAAGCATTGAATCCAAAACTCAGAGTTCAAACTCCGCGTAAAAGAAAAACCAAAAGACCAAACCCAAAAAACACGAGTAGAGCAAAAGTCAGATGGAGAGGCTCCCCAGCCTCCCCCCCGGGGAGCAGGGCCGCAAGCCCGGGTGGACGGAGCCCAGGAGCCCGTGTGGCCCTCACCATCCCTACAACCAGCAGCTGAAGCACTGGACCTCCCCAGGAAATCCTGCTGCAGAAATGCACAGAAGCCTGCTGTTCCATCTGTTCTGAGTACAATGGGTTGACGTGCTGGTCTCTGTCTACCACAGAGCCCCTCGTCGAGGGTTGAACAGTGCCCACCTCCCCATATGCACGTCTGCCTGGAACTTGAGAGTGTGACCCTATTTGAAATGAGAGTTCGCAAATGTACTTAAGGATCTTGAGATGAGATCCTCCTAGGTCAAGGTCATCCCTAAATCCACGTGGGGGTGTCCATTAAGGACCAGAAAAGAGATGACAGAGGACAGGCCATGGGAAGAAATATGCGTTGGAGCAATGTGGCCACCAGCCAAGGAACCCCAGGAGCCGCCGGAGTCGGGGGAGGGTGCTCCCCTCCAGCCTGCGGGGGGAGCGTGGCCCTGCTGACACTTCACGGCAGACTGCTGGCCTCCAGAACTGAGAGAATAAACTTCCGTTGTTTCAAGCCTAGACCGTTTGTGGTCATTTGTTTGTTACAGCAGCCCTGGGAAACCGATACACACTTAGATTCCTGACATCAACTACCGCTCTGCAGTTAGAAACCTAAGGACCCGGGCATAAGAAAAAAAAAAGAACCTTTAGGGATCGAGGGAGGTGGAAAATTTTAAATGCAATGGTATCTCCAGCTCAAAGCCTTGTCTCAAGAGGTCCAGCCTGTCCACATCTCCAGGACACCCAGGGGGAGACACTGTGCCCCAAGACGTCTCTGAGTCTTACCACTTGTTCCAGGACCACGAGCAGCTCCTCATCCAACAGGACCACCTGCAGGACGCCGCTCAGTGCCGTCTGCTCCGGCTCCGGCAGCTGTCCGAAGGGGCGGAACGCCCTCTCCAAGGGCAGCGTCACTGTGAAAGCAGCAGAGCACGCCCGGCTCAGGACGGCCGCGTGTGTCTCAGAACAGGGACAGCAACTCTGGCTTTTTATAGCCAATTGTCCTCGGCTCTTTCAGAGACACTCGCAGCTGCACAATCAGTCCCAGAACTCGGAAATAAAGGACGTGGAGTTAAATGCCACCCTGCCTGTTTTCAGTAACCAAACTACCACCAGAAAGGAGTGGGGGGAGGGCGGATAGAACAGAAAGAGGGCGGCCCCGTTTCGTGTTAGACTTCACCTTTTTTTACGACGACGCACTAAACATTAATCGTTTACCAGAAAGAGTGGTTGAGATGCCTCTTTCTACAGCAGTAATTTACCAGGGTGATTTGTGCAACATCAGTCGGTACTTCTGCAGTGCTTCAGAACCATGCAAATGCCAAAATACATTATTTTCCGCCCTTTCTTCTAATACATTGTGGACTTTGCATCCTTTAATAATGCCTGCATTTCAGAGAGGCTGCTGCCGCCCTGTTTCTGTGGCAAACCCAGCTCCTGCGCTTTGCCCATCCTTCCTCCTTCGCCCGTCCTGGCCCCGGAGAACGGGTTTGCAGGCCCGATGGGGGTTCGTATCCTCTGCAGGGTGCTGCAGCCTCTCCCTTAGAGTCACCATCATCATCATCTTTTTTTGTTTGTTTGTTTTAAAGACAGTCAAAAGCTTCTAGCAAATTAAGCCCAGTGGGAATCTGAAAGCTTTCGTATGTGGGGATGCATACTAACACATAAGTGCACTGCCTCCGCTGATGGCAGATTCCAGCAAAGGGTTGCAGAGAGCCCTGTGGAGAGCAGCGTGTCACATCAGCGACTGACATACTCAAGCGCTGCCCTAGCAACAACCCGGAAACAGCCAGGCGTTTGCAGGAGCCTGGAGAGAAGGGCTGCCCTGGGCCCTCTCGTGTCCTAGGGCACAAAGCCAGGCCAGCCCCCACCCTGCTCCCGTCTCCCTACCCTTCACCCGCCGCTCACTAGGATGGCCAGCCTACAGGGTGGACTGGTGGGGAAGGAAATTACAGGAAAGCTGCGGCCAGTCTCATCACCTCCCTGCAGCACGGGTCGAGGCCACAGGGCCACTGCTGCCGTGGTTCTAACCCACGATGTCATGAGTGCGTAAGTGGCCTCGGAAAACTGCACCCCGTTATGGATCTCGAGGAGGCGGAGGAGGGGCCTGCATGAGACTGGAAAGCCTTATGTTAAGATCAGACCTTCAGTGCCATGTCTCCCAACACCATTTTTGCTACTGAAACAAAAGCAGCTTGTGGTTTGGGACTCATTGAAGCCGCACTGGTGGGTCTCCATCCGGACCCTCCAAGCCACCGCGTATTCTGAGCTGCTCTTGGTTCTCTGTGCTCGGCTCTTGCATGGCTATTTGTCCCTCCTCTTCCTCACCCGTCTCCTCCTCCGTACCCTGTACTCCAGTCTCTGCCCCGCCCCCCGAAAACCCCTCCAACTTTCTGTAACACAGCCTGCTGTGGGGGCAGAAGGGATTGCTGCAGGCAAGTCACAGGTAGTCCCCTCCCCCTCCCTGGTTGCCCCGCCCCACGGGCCTCAGGCCATGTGGCTAAGGAGCCTCCAAGTGACATCCTGCAAAGGCTGACAAAGCCTTGTCTTGGCAGTGAAGCCCGAATTATGATGAAACACATGCAAAACATGGGTTTTCTCTCCTTGCTGCTGACTAGCTATTCTTAGCAGTCCACAAGGCTTGTGCAGTTAAAGTGAAAGAAAACGCCAGGCCCCGGGTTCTTACGCTCCCCAGTCTCTGGCCCCCGTCTCAAAACATGGCGCCCAAGACCTGAGGTTCCCTAGGATCCGACCAAGGGGAATCCTGGTCGGACTAGGCCTGACTCAGAGGCACTGTCCTCTCTGCTCTCAGATGCTTCCTCGAAGTCCCTGGAGTCACCTCACCACTTCTGAAGCCATCGCTTCTTGGGACACAGCGCTCACAATTAGCCATCGGCTCAACACAACCCCCGACCCCCCACCGACTATACCTTGTTTTAAAACATGCAGTGGTTCATCAGGGGCAGAAGGCTCCCGCCCAGCATCCGGCATGTCCCTAAAGGCAAACTCTATAAGGGGCAGGGGTTCCAGGAAGACGAAGTCGCTCCTCCCGTGCTCGAAGCCGCCGTGCTTCCCCTGTAGGAGGCAGAATTCTGCAACACAGAAGGGGCAGGTCAGCACGGACGGGACCAGCCCGCTTCCCCCCAGGCGGCTGGGCCGGGGAACATCTCCCCGCTCCTCCCCACAAACCCGCCTCCCGCACAGGCTGTGCTGTTTGGTCAGAACTCGCCCGCTTCCTAGACACATAGGAGAAACGGTTCTTAACGTAAGGTTCTCCTGCGTGTCCTTTTCGGACGGGCAGGAAGCAACCTTTCACACACTGGAAGTACTTCCTGAGCCTGAGCTGAACAAGCCAGCGCTACACGAACAACTCACCACACAGGAATGGGACCGGGAGACTTAGAATTTGATTGACAGATTTGATTTGACTGAGCTGATAATGTTACAGAATTACTGACAATGTATTTAGGTGCACAAGCGGTTATGTTATATGGTTCTCTTCTTAAAGACTCAAATTTGAGCCCTGGCTGGCGTAGCTCAGTGGATTGAGCGCGGGCTGCAAACCAAAGTGTCGCAGGTTCGATTCCCAGTCAGGGTACATGCCTGGGTTGCAGGCCATAACCCCTAGCAACCGCACATTGATGTTTTTCTCTCTCTCTCTCTCTTTCTCCCTCCCTTTCCTCTGTAAAAATAAATAAATAAAATCTTTAAAAAAAAAAAGACTCAAATTTTCTTCGTTAAGAGAATACTATGTTGCAAAAGACAAACTTATTGCTGCAATTATATGAATGAATCTCAAACATGTCAAGTGAAAAATCTAAACAGAATATAGTCTACAGGAATCTTATTAAAAGGCAAAACTGGTCTTTTTTTTTTAAGTTTTACCTTTTAGGGGTACTGAAATATTTGTGGACAAAACCCAAACAACCCGCGTTCTGGAAGCACAAAGTGCCTGGGGTTCGTGACACTACGAATGCTGCTTTTGAACCCATGTGGAATTGTCTGTCATGAAAACTTTGTAAATCATGAAATGTTTCCTCATATACGTCCCCATTTGAGAGCCCTACTAAGGTGTCTGAACTGTAGGTAAAAATGTAGCCATTCTTAGGTCCTTGCTAAGCAAAAACAATGAGCAAACTCATGAATTCGGGCTCTTTTTGTGCTTCTATCTGTCATTTGCACACTCGAGCCCAGGCCACGGGATGCAAACGCGTCTGAGCCGGCACAGGGAAGGCCCAGCCCTCGGCACACACCCGCGTCCGCAGGGGTGGCATGGCTGGCATGGCCAGCATGGCCGGCTGAGACAAACGAAATGAGCCTTTATTCCCTCATTCATTCACTCACGCACACCCGCTAAGCAGCCAGGGTGCCCCGCTCCTCCGCCCTTTGTGTCAGGCACTGAGGTGGGGAAGTGTCCACCGGCCCCAGGGGATGACTGTGCTCCCCGGGGACACGGCCTCGAATCCCGCTGAGCGGCCCGTGGGTGGTTCAGGGGCCCATGGCACCAGCACCTGATGCAGCCCCAGAGGCACTGCCAGTTCCTTCACTCTCGTCCTCGCAGGCACTGCGCTGGGGCCGGGGGCCAGAGGCAGCAAAGGGCCTTGACCATCAGTGCACTTCAAGTGGGGCTGCAGGACGCGTCACTGAAGCCAGGGAGGCAGGTGCTGAGAGCACCGGCACAGGTTGCTTGGGCAGTGCAGTGTCTCAGCAGCCAGAGGCTCAGGGGTCAGTGAGAGCGGAGCGCTCTCGGGTGGTGGGTGAACGAGCCGCACAAAAAACTTAGGACAAAGGGAGCCTCAGAAGGTGTTTGAGCAGGTGAGCGAAATGACCACGTTTTCATTTGTAAATAATCACATTGGCTCCACTGCTGGGATGGGACAGACGGGAAAGATTCCGAGAAGCAGCAGCGGGGACGAAGAGTCTGCTGGGAAATGGGGTTGGGGGGCTGTGGGTGAAGGGCGGGGTCTCGGGGGAGAGACGCTCATCGAGGGCAGGGCGGCTGCACAGGCACCTCCCCCTCCCCCAAGAACAGGAGGGAGTCAGCCTCCTCTCAAAGTTACCAAGGACCAGCAGGATGTCTGTCAAAGGCACTCCCCCTAGAGGGTGGGAGGAGGCATCAGGCAGGCTCTGAGGGGCCCTGCAGGCCCTGTGGGTCTATGTTTACGAAGCTAGATCAGAACATTCTGTGGCAGGAGCAACGGGGCACACAGATGGGAAATAAAAGCAGGACTGGCTTCCAAGTCAGGCACTGAGTCTCACGGAGCGAGGGCCTGACCCCCGCGCTGCACCCGCGTGAGCGTGCCCAGCAGGACAGCGCAGGGAAGGCAGGGGCTGCCTCAACTGGGGGTGGGGAGTGAGCCAGAGGAGCCTCAAGAATTCCCGAGGGCACCTCTTCTCCACAGCTCAAAGAGGACTTTATTTCCAAAGACAACAGAGGCGAGCCAAGATGAAAGGCCTGAGATTGAAATGCAAACAGGAGAGGTGCAGCAGGCCACGCTGTGTCTTTCCAAGTCCAGCTGTGTGCAGAGGCCCCCAGGGGACAGGAGCCCACAGCTGCAGGCAGGGCAGGGCAGGGCGGGGCACCCCGTCCTCAGAGAGACAGGAGGGCCCCCACAGCCGCCCTGCCTGGAGTGGCACCCTGGCCTGGCCCCCAGCCACCAGAAGGTCCTCACGGCACTCACGGTCACCCTCAGGGGCAGGCCGAGCTTGCACAAGCGACACCTCGACTGTTAATCCACCCGGACAGCATCGCCAAGGCGTGAACATCCTGGGCTGGAATCACATCCTTGCACGTGGTATCAGCGGTTTATCACACACTGGTAACAAAACCTTAGTCATCTTAGTGCAGTTTGCTCAGCAGATGAACATCTTTCAAAGAGAAAGACTAAAATAAGATCCAAAATGCCCAGGAGCACACAAATTTGGAACCAGGGATCTAAAAACGGCAGGCGACAATTCTTGGTGTCCTGATACTCCAAGTGTCCTTGCCCCACCTCTCTAGACCAGCTCCTTAAAACTGACACCGCTTCTCGCCACCTCCTGAAATGCAGGCTGGCACCCAAGAGGGGGGCTCTGGGACTGCGTTCTGCCCCCTCCTTGGGGTCCTCACGTGCCCGTGGGCTTGTCGCCTGTCCTGCAAGGGCAGTCAGTGTTCTCGGCGTCCGAGCTGCTGCCCTACAGTGGGGTGCCCGTGTGGTCACCGCAAGTACAAGAGGCTGGCTCCCCTCAAGGCCGCCTCATCCCAAGCCTGGTCCTCGCCACCTGACAGAAGCCACCTGGGGGACATGCAGCAAGAGACGCGGGCACGCTGCGTGACGGCACACCCTATTAACATTTCCGCTGTGGAAACGTGAAACTGCGCGAGAACAGAGGAGCACAGTGAAGCTGCACACACCCACGGATCGGCGAGGATGACCGCTGTCTCCTCCACCCACGCGTTGCTGCAGCCAACCGTCGACATTGCCGTTTCACCCGTGAAGACGGCGGTAGAAAGTTCCAAAAAGTAGACTTTTTAATAGACGTGACCACATTACCACCATAGCTAAGGAGGTTGACAATAATTTATGTTATCTGAGTTCATTCACATCCTCAAGAAGCAAGCACTTTTCTTGAGCTCAGCACAAGGTCTTCTCAGGAAGTGCGTGGGGGAGGGGCCGTGCGCACCTGAGATCAGCGGACAAGCAAGGAACCGACTTTCTCCAAACAGTGCGACGGCCAGGGTTGCACTGCAGAGTCAAATGCAGTGGTGACCAGCAGAGCAAGACCAAGAGCAGCGTTTTGGGCTTCGAGGGAGGTGACGTGATGGGGATGATGTTAATGGTCCAGGTGGAGTACTTAATAAACAGCCGCCGTGCCCGGCACGCCTCGTGCCTCACCTGTTTCACCCTCCTGCAGCCCCGGGACACGGCGAGACTCAGCCAGGCCGGCAGCAGGCCCGAGACCTCACAGGACGCGTGGGCACTGGGCCGATCGATCCCCAGTCCCTCTGATCACGGGGGACACGTCCTTAATGAACCCCGTGCCGTGCTGGCGAAACCTCACCCACACACTCCCAATGGGGCCTGCCTGTCCCCTCGTCATCAGGCGACCCCACGTTCTTAGGATCTCCTGTGTCCCCCATCCCCTCCTTTCCCGTGTGCGCCCCAGGGGAAGATGGCGCGTCCCTCAGCCTTGGTCGCACTGTCTGCTGACAGCCGCGCACTGGGGACAGCGCTCACCGAACTGGCCGTCCAGCTTCACGAACAGCTCGAGGACACTGTAGGCGATGGTGGTGGAAGCCGGGATCTCCAGCACCACGTTGGTGTCCTTGGTGACGGTCCCGTCTTCCACGGCTGACACCTGCGGACGAGAGCACGCCCTGAGCTGTGCACCCCGACTCCCCTGGGCCCCTCTGCCTGCCCCCTCCTGTGGCGTCCTGTGAATGCCCACGGAACCGAGTGGGAAGGAGGAGCCAGCCCGCAGAGGTGAAGGACGTCAGCCCCATTGGCCTGGTGACATGCACACATGCCCACGTAAATGGCCGACCTGGTGGCGCAAAAGTGACAATCCAGGTTCCTGATACAGGGAAGTTGGGTCTGCAGTGATGAATAATGCAGGTAATAAATAAGGCAGATAAGGTGACTTCCCCTTTCCCTCACAGAGGATTATGAAAACTGCTTTGAAGTCCAAACCAAATGCCTAACCAACGTCAAAGCCTGAGGGAGAAACAAGCTGAGAGAGACACCGCCCCCCCCCCCCACCGCAACGCCTCGTCCCTCCAGACCCTGTGCTGTTCAGACCAGGGGGGAGGTGGCGGAAGAAGCAGGGCAAGAAGCCTGGGCGGGAAAGGCCCAGGAGTCAGGCCCCGCAGCGCCCTCCTTCAAACACCGTTACAAATGCCTTCCCATCAGGGCTGGGGAGAGGGACACAAGAATCTCCATGTTGCCCAGACACCAGAGTTCAAAGGCTTTCTGAGCAACTTGGTCCTGGCCAGAGTGGGGTGACAGCCGGCCGCCTGACTCCCAGGTAGGCTCTGCGCCTCTGGTGGGGTCGCCTGGGCAGAAACTTTGGCAGGGCTGGCAGAAGCCACCTCCCATCGGTCATGTCCCTCATCACTGCTGTCCAGCCTGTCTCTCTCAGGAGCACCCGGCCCCGGGCCTGTAGCTCCCTGTTCCCAACTCATGGCGTTCCAAACTCCATGTCTGGGTCCTCTAGCGAAGGCCAGAAGTTACCCTAAGAAGTAAGTCTCTAGGAAGCAAACAGCAGGTGCCAGGACAAGCTAGAGCAGAGACAGCCTGGGGATGACAACCTTCCATTCCACTGAACTTTAGGACTGGCTCGGGGGCAGCTTGTAAGGCTGTCCAGAATGTAATCCAGAATGTAATCCAGAAGCACCCATTTTTGCGTCTATAGACAGATGGACAGATCCTTACCTTCCCTAACTCAGCCCGCAAAGGACCTGAGACAGCTAATCCCAAAGCTATCACTTTTTTGAGACCCTGACTCCAAGGGACTCTAAGGGTTAACTGTGCTTTTGGCCTGGCTAGTGCTCCTTTGTCCCATCTTCTTACAGGAATGCGCCTGACCCAGGCGGGCACAGCCAATCTGAGAGTCCCACTGCCCTGGCCTTGGGCCCACTGCAAGAATGGGGGACCCAGGCTGGGGCAGTGAGATCCAGCCCGAAGATCTCTCCCCACTGGGGTCGCAGCAGGTGGGACGAACGCCTGGAGATACCACACCACAAGGTGACAGCCTGTTGGAGGCAGCTCACAATGCTCTCTGAGTCCTGGATCCAGCAGTGACTGAAGCCAGATTAACCTTGAATGCTTCGATTACAGGAGCCAATAAATTCTTTCTTATTTAAGCCAGTTCTAATTGGATTTTTGTTAACTTGCTACACAAAGAGTCCTGATGAACGAAGACACCACCCAACGAAGACCCTGACCGAGGTCCCAGCAGCGGGAGCCAGAGCAGCTGCTGTGGCCCAGCCCTCAGGCCCACACCTGCACGGTCTTGGTCGGGATCCCCACCATGCCGCCGAACTTCTCCTCGACCTGGACGTGCTCAGACACCACACACTTCTGCGTCGTCACTATCTTCTCCGTCAGGACACACAGGACCTCGTTCCTCCTCTCCAACACTTGCTGCAGGAGAGGGCTCTTCAGATTTATCGTTCTGCAAAAGAAAAATGGCTGTGAGTGACCTCGTGCCCCGGGGGGAGATGGGCGCAGTGTGGCAGCCAGCATCTTTTATGTCCCGGCAGTGAGAGATGGGGCAGTCCATCTAGTAAGGCATAAACCAAACTCTCCCAAGGCTGCCTGGGGGCTGCCAGGCCTCCGGGACCGCCTGGATGCCAGAGGGAGGGGGTCCCTGTCAGAAGCAGCGCTGGCTGTCAGGGAGGAAGAAGAGAGAGCCACCTGGCAGCCAGCACAGGAACCGCAATCCGTCTGCCTTACACCCGGGGGCTCTGCTTTGTCACTTAGTCAGAGGCTGAGGGTCCACAGATGTCACAGCGTGGCCCAGGAAGTACAGAATCACTGGGGGTTGGGAGTGGGGGGTGGGGGGCGGGGGGTGCTGGCAGTCCCTTCTCACAGATGAGAGAGGGACAGGCCTGCAAGACAAGCAGCAGCGATGAAGACATTAGGTTTGAATGAAGCAGGAACATCTTAACCTGTCTGTCCCAGCAGGACGTATCATTTCTTCCCAAGGGGTTCACATCATTGTACAGGTGGGGAAACTGAGGCCAGTTAGGGTTGGCCTGCCCGAGGTCACCCCGCAGACCTGAGACTCCCACGCAGTGACCCTGGGGCTCGTTCAGAGCAGGCTAAGTGTCCCCCTATAGGAGACGATTTCACACTTGGGGCAAAGGACGAAATGACCTCTCAGAGATGGACTCAGAGATTGTCTTTAACTCTCTGAGTCCATGAAGTTGCCAGGAAGGGAACCAAACTAGGGTGGGTTTGGGCGTGAGAACAATTACAGTGTTCATCCTGGGCTTTTTAAACATTCCCAGGTTAGTTCCTTTGAAAAGCACAGCACCGTCCCTAACCGCACACACAGAGGGTACCCCTGCCCACCCCTGGCCCCGGCTCCAGGCAGCCAGACTCTCCTGGCTTCTGAGAGTGCCCCCAGCACCGCAGCAAGTGGCTGGGAAGGTCCTGTCTGCCTGTGAGCAGCTGCCGGAGTGGAAACGACCAGTGTCCGTGGACGGATGGATGGCGGGCAACACGGCCCACGTGCCGGGTGGGGCACCACTCAACACAAAGGCTCGGACGCAGGCTACACCACGGACAAATCTCGAAGGGATTATGCCGAGTGAGATAAGCCAGACACGAAAGGACACGTATTGGGTGACTCCACTTATATGAAATATCCGGGCAAATTCATAGTGACAGAAAGGTTTGAGGTGCCCGGGCTGGGCCGGGGGGCATGGGGGAGTTCTTGCGAGATGATGGCCGAGTTTCTGTGTGAGGTGACGAAGAAGTTCTAGAAATGGGTAGTGGTGTTGGCGGCACAACAGTGTGAATATACTTAATGCCAGCGCATTATACACTTAAAAATAGTTAAAAGACAAATTTTATGCTATGCATATTTTATCACAATAAAAAAAAGACATGAAAAACTATTCCATCTCAGTAGTGGTCAAAGAAATGCAAATTATAACATTGTTTCCCGCATATTAACTAAGTAATGAGAATAAACTGACAACCGCAACGGAAAGCTACAGGGGCTCCAGGTCCAGGAAGGCACGTGCAGCAGGGCCCGGCGCCTGCCCTGCTGGGGTTCGAGTCCCAGCTCTGGCCCTCCAGCTGGGGGACCTGGAATGACTTTCTCCACATCTGCCCCTGCGTTCTCTCACGGATGCACTCGCGGTGACACCTCTCCTTGTGGGACTGTCATAGGGTTTCAAGGAGCATGACCTTAAACACCACACAATGCTCATGGACTCTAGCCACCGCCCTGCGTTCCTTTACAGAGGTCTCCAACACAACGCCATGTGATGGGAGTTCTGGGCTGTGTAACTGGGCTGGAGGTACTTTCTTTGTCACTCCTGTGCTTAAAGACCCTCCCTGGCTTTGTCAGCATCTCATTCCCTGCCCCAGGCTACTAGGCTTCGCGATCTGGCCCCGCCCCCATCGGGGTCGCCCGCCCTCTCTCTCTCTGTGCCTTGAACTGGTCAGGCACAGGTCTGCCCCAGGCCCTGGACCCACAAGTCCTGACCCGTCTCCCAGTCCCGTGGTGCCTCCTGCTCACCCCTGTCACGCTGTCACATATAAGACCACTTTTCTGGAGAGCACAGCTCCCCCCGCCTCCCCCACTCTCCTAGCTCCTGGGTTTGTCTACTCATTGCCGTCTCCTCCCTGCAGTGCGGAGGGAAACTCGCGCCGTCCAGACTCCAGCTTCTCCCAGGACCGCATGAGCGCATGGCAACGGTTCGAGACCTGCCTTTGGAATGAGGGGTGAACTAAACTTGTGGGGTTTTCCCCCTCCATCTGTGCGCCCTGACGAGCATATAAATGCCTGACTGTGCGATGCACCTGTGTATGAGAGCGAGCAAGCAGGTGGACCATGGAGGGAACAGCAGGTTATTTTAAAGACTGACACGTAGACAGCCGTCCTAAGGGACCTTTTTGGTCCTGGAGGCTCAGACACTGAAGATGACACCCCGCGTACCCGCCAGTCAGAACTGCATCTGGCTCGGTCCTTTCCAGCGGGCTCCTCCGCCTCCTGTGCGCAATTGCGTCTTCTGGTGGGTTCTTGAACGCCAACCCCCTCCGTGGCAGTCGGGGAATGGCTCATCCCGCGTGAGCTCCCTCCCTGTGAGCTCCCACCCCAGGGCCACTGGAGGACGGCTGGCTGCCGCCTCCGAGTCTGAAGTGACTCTGGCGATTGGAAACCATACACAGATCCCCTAAAACGCCCGATGCTGTCTCAGCCCATGGCAAAGTGTTTCAAAAGAAAACCTCAGCCTCGACCCCCTAAGGCTCCATTGCCTAAAATGCCTACCTCCCTCCAGAACCCCCAGGTCACCCTACTCCAAACACTGGGAGGAAGGAGAACAAGTCAACTGCAGGAGCGTAACTTCCTTCTGCTTCTGGCTGCAGGGCGGTCCTGAGCAGCTCTCCGGACTGGCCAGGCACCCGCCGTGGGGCAGAGAGAAGTGTGGTCGGGGACAGGGCGCATCTGCGAGGCTAAGATCGGGTGACTCGGGAGGGGAGAGGAACGTGGACAGGACAGCGCAGGCCCACAGGAAAGAGAAACGAGAAAGAAACGCTCTCCAGAGCAGGAGGGCAGGAGGGGCCCCTGGCAGGCTCTTCCCACCAGGTGGCCGGGATTCTGTTTCCTGGGACAGTGCTGCCACCTTTTGGAAACAGCGCTGGGCAAACCCACTCATCGCAGGTTAGGAGGGGAGGCCTCCTTCTACACAGAGGGGAAGCCAATTGTCAGGGGAAATCGATCGTCCAGACTCCTTGAAAAGCAGCCTCCGGAGGGAACTCTTCCCCGAAAGCTTCCCCAGTCAGCACCGCCAGACCCCGCGCTGTGCCAGGACGCAGCACAGCTGGTGGGATTCGGGCCGGCTCTGCGCCTGCTCAGACAGGAATCACTGCGCAGCGGGGCCCCTGGGGCCACCAAGTGCGAAAACCCACCGTGTTTCAGTGTGATTCATTTACATGTATAATCCTACGTGATCTATGCATCCGAGGAGGTCCATGCTTTCTTCAGACTAAAAGGGTAGCAAAAAAGTTTAAAACCCTAGATCGGGGGTTTCACAGATGAGGAGCAAAGAGGCCCGGAGAGGGCGAAGATAGAAACCGAAGTCACACCGCTAAGTAGCGCAGGCTGGCATTTCCCGGCAGCCCCTGCCGTCGCTCTGGGTGAGGGCGCCCTGTGGCTAAAGGAGGGCTTTCAGCACTGCTGTGTCCATTTCCACACGGCAGTATCTTGCCTGTGTCACTGGGGGGGTCAGGGGGAGGTTTTATACCCCCGTCCTCTGGGAATTGTCTTGGGAATATCCTTACCTGCCTGTTCTCCCCGACCCAGCACCTTGCGCTTTTACAAAACACTTCCCTGGGACTGTCCCAATCCTCTCCATGTCGCCTGGGCCCTCTTAAGAATCGCTGAACAACATACACACACAGACACACAGACACACACACACACACACACTCTCTCTCTCTCTCTCTCTCTCTCTCTCTTTAGAAAGAGACTCCAGGAACCATTAACAGTGTCTGCCTCTTGCGTGGGGAACGCGGCAGCTGAGAGATCGGGGTGGGAGACTCCTGACCTTTGCTCTCTCCACCGTATGACATTAAAACCATGTGAACATATCAATTATTCAAAAAGTTAATTAAAAGTCCTTTGGACAGACTCCAAGCTCCGGGGGACACAGTCCCCTTACCTAAGACCCATGCTGTCCACCCCGTTGGTGGACAAAGGAATAAGTTATCACAGAAATCCTAAAGGCAGCAAGGGAATAAACTTCTCTCCCTGGTCCAGCCTGGGATCAAAACCCACAGACAAAAGAAACAGGGCAGGAGCTCCCCGACCAGAAAGGGAGCAGCCAGAGGCTCCGCGCCCCTTTCACGTATTTCTAAGGACAGCTCGAGGCGCCTCTCTCCTCCTGGCCGATGGCGCTATGAAAGCAGGCAGGAGGCCCCCGAGACAGGGGTCAAGTACAACCAACTTTACAGGGTTGGACCCAAAGGATCACATCTGGAGACAAGGGATCGGGGAACACACTGAACAGAAGGGTGCCCCTTCCTCACCCAGTGAGCCTGCTGACCCTCACCCCTTTCTTCTGAGGCCCCCAGCATTATCTCCGCCTGGCTGGGTTACCACCTCTTGTCTCAGAGCCTTGGCCTGCACATCTGCAAAGTGAGAACTGGCTGTGAGACTGACCTTAGTGAGGTTTGCATAAACTGACCTGCCCGGGACCCATCTGTAAATGTTTCTCTCCTTCCAGTATTGGCAGGAAAGCCAAATGAGGATCCCTCCCCAGGCTGGTCCAGGGCACGGCCACATTGCCCGGTGCCTCAGGACGACAGCCCTCGGCCAGGGACCAGGCGGGGCTCGGAGAAACACAGGCAGCACGGTGGCAGGAAAGCGGGGCTCGGAGCCTGGAGGCTGCTGGGGAGCAGGCGCAGAGGGGCCAGGGCACCAGCAGGAAGTGAGGT